GAACATTTAAAAGGCACTTGCTCTTTTTTACTTGAGCCTCCTTTACAAATATAGTGCTTTGATTCTCTGTACTTGCCATGGCCCTATCCTGTGGAATCCTGGGATCTGCAGTTTAAGGAAGGTCATTCAATTCTCAAAGCTAAACAGCTCAAATGCCTTATCAAAATACAAACTCCAGGTTCCCATAGGACAGAACTATGACAGTTGAGCTAGAATCATATTTGTGTAGTTCCTATACTAGTGATAAATGGATCAGAGACATTTATGTGGAGTTTTGCCATAAATGCTGTGCTCATTTATACTGTAGAATCAATGCAGTTTGGTACCACCCTAACCGCAATGGCTCAGTACTCCAGTTCTATCAGATGGGCCTTTGACAGAAGTCCAATGATGTCGTGGGATGGGCAGCATCCTTGGATGCTTTCCAAGGCCCATCTGATGAGGTGGTTAGTTTCCTCAACTTTTTATGTGGAAAATATTACAGCTTCTAAGCCCCTTGGCAGTGCACCTTCGGAATCACTAGCTGCAAAGAAGTTGCTGGGGAGGACTTAAAGCTCTGCCTCTTAGGGTGTGTGTGTTGGGGGGGGGGGGGGGTTGGTTCTCAAAGGCACAGAATCTAATTAAAGTTCCAACCCACAGAAAACTATACAAAAAGGAGCTAAACCTATTCTAAATAAAGGGACAACTGAGGCACAAGAAAGAAACAGTAAAAGTCTCTGTGCGAGCATGACAACTACAGAATAAAAAGAGTGTCTTACATTCAATTGGGAACACCCAGCTCGTCATTCTTATTGTACTCCTCACTATAGTAGATGCTATATAAACCATTGAACTGACTCACCATTCAACAACTGATTCAATAGGTCTGCTTTATTTGGTACTTAACCAGGTAATTTAAAAGACTATTTAAAACAGCTGGGAAAAGAACTACATAGGATATGAGTAAAGTACTGGTTTCCATGCCCTCTGACATGAATTGATCTTATAAAGAGATTCAGGAATCTGGGGCTATTCAGTTGTGTGCATTTGTGAGCCATTCACAAAAGTTCACTTTTTTTTTTCATGAACACAATATTTCTGCAACATGCCCTTAAACTTTGCAAATTATTCTCATGAGGTACATGTCTTCTCACAAGGGGTTTAGGGAAAAGTAAATGCATTACTTTGCCATCTGAAATCAAAAGCCATTTGAGGGTTTTAAAGTTAATATCAGAAGTTTAAATAAAGCCCTGACGGTTTGTGGTTTTGGCTGATGTGTGGCTGGTATGAATCTACAACCCCAAGAAAAAAGGAATAAATGAAGCCAAATTCTTTTCGATTTAAAGCAGACTTGATTCTTCAAAATTGACATGAAAGAACAAATTAAGACTTTAGTCAGTATTTCTAAATTCTTTTCATATAACACAATCTCTCATGACAAGTGTTCTTTGTCTTTTTCAGTGCTGCAGTCAACTTTATCTTGGATATTACTAAGTCTTGGAGAAATCTCATGATTAATCTCTTTCAATACAGTTGTCTGGCTAACCTTCTCACTTGCCCATATTTTGTAAGCTACATTGTCTTTTGAAATAATCTCTTCAACTCTGAATCTGACAGTGCAATTGTTTGGGCATTAATAATAATCTCTTTGAGAAATGCCTTTAATGATAACATAATATCTTCATAATGGCCCATTGCTCTTTGAAATTTGTATCTCAAGTGAAATCTTGCAGAATATATCCCGTACAGCCTTTCTGTCTGAACTAAATGCTCTCTGCTTAGAATTCCAGTGGTGTCTTAAGTTTTTTTCTCCATGGCTTATAATATGCTGCACTTTGGTGAGGCATATCTTTAACATGCTACGTTTATTGGGGTTGGAATCAACAAATGTAGAACATCAATTTACCTTGTCATCCATCCAAGGCATGGATCTAGCATCTATCATCATCTACCCATTTCTATCTTATTAACATGAACTTTCACAGTGATGTTTGTATATTGCAAAACCTCCAGAGGCAAAATCTAGTTTACCTACAGTAGTAGATTTCCATCGGAAAATCTCTTGACCCCCCAGTGGCACATTGGGTTAAACCCTTGTGTTGGCAAAATTGCTGACTGACAGGGTCAGCAGTTTGAATCTGAGGAGAGCAGGTTGAACTTTCTCTGTCAGCTCCAGCTCCCCATGAGGGGACATGAGAGAAGCCTCCCACAAGGATGGTAAAACATCAAAACATCTGGGCATCCCCTGGGCAATGTACTTGAAGACAGCCAATTCTCTCACACCAGAAGTGACTTGCAATTTCTCAAGACATTACTGATACCAAAAAACAAAAAAAGAAAGAAAGAAAGAAAGAAAGAAAGAAAGAAAGAAAGAAAGAAAGAAAGAAAGAAGAAAGAAAATAGGGAAATCTGATTTGGACTCAGAAAGCATTAATGCCAATTGTCTAATAAAAAAAATGTCAAACTCCATGATGCAGTTTTTCCTCCTAAATCTACTTATCCACACTGTAGACTTCACATCTGTGGCCCTCCTACAGCTGCCCATTCTAAATGAGATGAGGGAGGTGAAAAGGTTGAGGGACCTAAATGTTAGGGAGAACTTCCTTATGGTAAGAGCTGTTCTGCAGTGGGATGTGCTGACTTAGAGTGCGGTGGAGTCTCCTTCTCTGGAGGTTTTTAAGCAGAATTTATATGGCCATCTTCTGGAGATGCTTTGATTTTGTATTCCTGCATGGCAGGGGGTAGGACTGGATAGCCATTGTTGTCTCTTCTAATTTAATGATTCTATTATTGTTTCTGAAATGGCCTCTCCAGATAGATTCACCTGGTATCTACATTATGTTCTCCATCTATACCACATTATGTTCTGCACACTGCTTGGTTATTGGGTCATTTGTATGTAGTCCCTAATGAATAAGTGGATAGTTTCCTTGCAGTAAGCCAACATATTAACCTGAATGTACATAGAGTTCTCGAACAAGATATTAATCACAATTTTATTTTTTAATTGAGAACATGTCCTTTATTCCTCGTAAGTCTCCTTGAATAATTATGACTGTAATTGTTTAAGAAACATATATTTCCCTCCTAACCCCACAATTTATTTTGAAAGATGAAGCTGTCGCTTATTTTAAACAATATAGCAAATACATACCTTCAAAGTAATGTATAAATAATGTTTAATTAGAAAAGGGAGATACAGAACATGATTACAACTGTACTTACTTAACAATTTTCCAACTCCTTTTTTTCTCAATAAGATATATTTATATATTACCGTATATTCCGGCATATAAGACGACTGGGCGTATAAGACGACCCCCAACTTTTCCAGTTAAAATATAGAGTTAAGACAACTCCCATGCATAAGACTACACCCGCGTATAAGACGACCCCTGACTTTTGAGAAGATTTTCTTGGGTTAAAAAGTAGTCTTATAGGCCAGAATATACTGTACTTTTAATGCATATGCTTGCCATATCCTTTGAGATCAGATTATTCAAGATGTTGTATTTATATTCTGCAGCTGGTTGGTCTATGGAATATGGCGTGGGACTTCAAGGGCTTATAGTGTGATCACCCCCTCCACTTATAGGAAAAGGCTGTTGGGGATGAACGTGGTGGGACTGACAGATCAGTGAGCATGATATTTATCTGTAACACAGATCAAAATCCAAGATGAGAAAGTGGAAATATGAACCTCAATCTCATTCTGTGAGTATTGGTTTATTTTAGGAGTGGAACTTTTGATTACTATATATACTAGGCTTGTGCATTTCAGCTGATCCTTAATCTGTTTTTGCTGGCCAGATACCAATAGACTCCCATATCCATTTCAACATGCCTCTTGAAAATGGGTGAGTAGCCTGATAGCCATTTTTGCTTGCAGCTAATAAATGCAGCTAGATCCGGCCCACTGGCGACAATGGGGAACTTACAAGGCTCCTCTTTCTGTTCCTGGGACCCTTTCCTTTTTTCCCTTCAAGCAACAGGGTTGAGAAAGCACCCTATCTGGCCCAATATGGGGGGGGGGGGTTTCCCACAGGCTCCCTTTCCATATCATTTATTAAGACCTGGGTTAAAAGCATCAGAGATAAGATACCACTCTTTCTGCAATCCTTTCCCTTCTACTTGTAGAGGAGACTGGGTTTAATGCTTCTTAAAGCTGTTTCTACTTTAGAGGAGAAACGCTGCAGGCAGCTGCACTCTGTCTTTCCCTACAGCACATCATGCAGCTTTCCAACACTCATCCTGCACATCCCCAACTCCCAGTCAGTTCCAGTAAATAAAAAGAATAAAGAAAATGAAGGAAAATAAAAAAGATTAATCTGTGATGCCAAATTGGGGAGGAGGAGCTGAGATCGGCTGCCATGTGGTCCCATTACGGCCTGGAATCCCTGACAGCTGGGTCTTTGCCATTATGGGCACATGAACAAACTGAAAAAGCTGAATTGGCTGAAGGAAAGTGCTAAAAATGGATCCATGATCTACTATATACATGAAAATTCACACATAGCATCAGAGTTAGTTACTACATCAGAAACAGAGAGTCCAAGGAAGTTATTTCAGCTTATGGCAACATTTCAAAGGGTGCATGTACAAGTAAATATTTCTCAGAATTCTTGGGGGCTTCACATTTGAGACCAAGTAAGAATCTCACTTCGCTTTCTTGCCATGGTTTGATATGATGGTATCACTGCCCGTGGAAGAAAGAAAAGCATCCCTGTGCCTTTCTTTTCCTTTGTTATCAGGGGATTAGGATTACTTCACCTACTTAATGAAATGGGAGAAATGATGGGAAGAGTTGAGAATACTGGTGGGAAATATGACAAATGAATGCTGAGGATCTTGTTTGGTAAGGAAAGGATTCATCCATCACTCAGTTAAAGTTCTTAGCTGTAGAAGATCTGAAATGAGCATGATGAATGCATGAAACTCATTTCAGAACTGAGAAGCACAAGTCTGATATCACACGGAGATACATACACTGAAACATCTATGTAATGTAAACATTATGACACTGTTAATTACATTTTATTGCTAAACTGGAATAAATTACAAAAACTACACAGAGCTTTAGAAACATCATCATAAGGAAAAATTACATAGTCCATCATGCTAGTTATTTAGCCTCTGCAAAATAGAACAAAAAAAATTGATTCATATCATACAGTTTTGCTGCGATAATTCATCTTCAAAAAAACTTCTACTGCCTATTTTACAGAACTATTACCTTTTGTATTTCAATAAATTAAACATCCTCTTTTCATTTTTGTCTAATTTAATGGCTATAGCAACAATCCAGAATTGTCACAATTGTATATGTTCTCCTTTTTTTATATAAAAATAAAAATTAAAGTGTTTTATTACAAATATTACTTACATTCAGGGAACAGTCATTTCTTCATTTATGTGTTTCAAACATACCACCCTGTCCCATACAGTGTAATTGCAAATAATTGTTTCACTATGGAGATGTCCTTGTCCTGTTATTTTTTCACAGACAGCTAAGTGGTCGTCACCCATTTCACTTCATTTAATTTGTAGATAAGCCAATTTTTGCCAGTGAGGTCAACTTCAAGTATCTGAACAAGAAGAATTAAAAGAGAATTAATTAATCGTACCTTTGGAAAAAAATCATAAAATGACACATACATGTTTGATGTTACATAAGGACTCGTTAGGTGGTGAGGGGGTATGCCAGGGGTATGCCAAGAACAAGATCTAAAAGACTCACAAATCTGTATGTCTGCAGACATTATGTCTTAACTCTAACCATTGTTTTCTTGGAGAAACATGACTGATTTTTTTTTAATTTAATGGACAGGGTCTTCATATTTGGGATGGGAAGAAAAGTGTGTGTGTGTGTGTGGGGGGGGAGGCTGAACTTCTGCATTACAGTCTAGAACACACACATTTACAAATCTTCAGTTGCACTGCATAAGTCAGGCAAAGCCCTGCTAGTGAATTGCCAAGATAGTACTACAATGTGCATCATACTGATTTCTGATGTGCATTGGGTACTTCTCTGATGCACATTGACTATTATCATTCACATTCGGCACTTCATATGCAAGCTAAGCTGTTCAATTGAAGATTTAAAGAGTAAGATTTGCAGAATTTCTTTCCTCTGCTGAACTCTCAATTTCTCATTATGTATGTAAGATTTAAAAGACAGCCATATTAGCCTGAAATATCAGTGTAAAGGGATCTTGTTGTGCCTTTGAAACTAACTAAAATGCATTGTTGTTATTATTTTTATTGCTATTATTATTACTACAAGATTTATTTTTACCCTACTTTTTCCCAGGGATGGGACACAGCATGGCCAACAATTTAAAAAGTGAAGCGTTAAAAACATATAAATATTAAAATCAAATTAAACAAATTCAGTTATTTAAAAATCAAATTAAATACAATTATAAGATGAATAAATAAGCTGTTAAAACAATTTAGCACCTTGTAACCCATTTCTGTATTAAAAGCCTGTCTGAATGACACTATCCACTAATTAGTTTGTGATTACATACACATGCCCCAGTAACCATTCTAGCCTCCTTGAGAAGGGAATTCCAGAGTCCAGGGACAACCACCAAGAAAAGCTCTTTCATGTCCACACCAACTATGCTTTAAATAGTGGTGGGACTAAGAGAAGGCCTTCTCCTGATGATATCAGAGCCTGGGGTGGCTCATGCAAAGAGATACAACATGTCAAGGAGCATGGACCTAGCCATAATGCAGGAATCCCCAGCATGATATTTTGTGTTTGATTGTGCAGGAAGAAATTGAGCCACTGTAGAACAGTGCCTCCAAGTCCCTTTCCAGCAAGCCAGCACAGAAGGATACCATGGTCAATTGTATCAAAAGTTGCTGAGAGGTCCAGCAGAACTTCTCAGTCTAGGTCATTTAAATGTGTCTCTGTCCTATTATCAGGCCTGAAACCAAACTGAAATCAATCTATATAATCCATTTCATTAAGAAAGTCCTAGAGTTGGGAAGCTATCACACATTCCAGTTTTTGGCCTGTGCAAAAAATATATATAGAAAAAATAGACACTGGGTGGTATTTATCAATTACAGGAGCATTCAGGAAAGGCAATCATAGATTTTTGTAGCATAAACTTTTTATACTTAGTCTACTTGCAAAGGTATCACATTTACTATTCTTCAGTTGCCACCTCACCAATTTCATTACATACTCTGTTGTGTGATCCAGTACTACTTCTCAGATTTCAAAGCAATATGTGTCTGCAGCAAATATTTTTGCAGGTAGCATCCCCAAAGAAGTCATTATTTATTTAAATCATTTTATTCAGCTGTTCTGCTGTAAAGGCTCTAAAACAGCTTGCAAATATTATTACAATAATAAGCCTTGCTTTTGTTACAGGTTTTTACTATAAAGATTCATAACAAAAAGAACAGAAGAAAATGTGCAAGCTCAGGCACTAGTACTTAATTATAAGCTTGCTGCTGGAAGAAGTTTATAGTTCAAAAACAAAGATTTCAGAGGCCCTCCAAAGCATAAAGTTATATTTTTACTTCCTCGGCCTCATAACAATTTGCTTCTGATGAGAAATAGGGACCAAGCCCAGGTGGTAGAAGCTTTATTTCCCATCATAAATCGACCTCTTTTAAAGGAATTAAATGTTATTGTCTCAGCCCTCAGCACTTTCCATGCATGAGGTTTCAAGTTATACATTTTAACCATATACATTATAAAATACACATTTTATTTAGCAGACACATTTATTTAGCAGACACATTGCAAATCTGTGCAATCTGTAGACAAGACTGAGTTTTTGCATCGAGATTGGTCAATCCAATGGGATGCTTTTCCATTCATTTTTGTTGTGGTTGTTATTCTTATGTATTCAAGTCATTTTTTAGTTATGCCAACCCTAAGGCAAACACATCACAGGGTTCTGTGGGTCCAAAAGACTCTACCATGAATATCTGATGGTGTTCATAGCACAGCAAAGATTTGTACCCTAGTCTCAAAAAGCTGTAAGCCAACATTCAAACTACTATGAATGCTGGTTCTCTTTTCTAGCTCTACTGTTGAGTTGCTTGTATAGACTGGCATGAATTTTTGTTATCATTTGCAGCCACATTAGGAACACCTTCTGCTTGGCTCAAGATTCACATTTTTTTCAACCTGTGGTAATTTTCAGTGTAAAATAATAGTTTTGTTACTGTGCTGTTATAGTCTAGGAACTTAACAGGAAAGCACTGGATTGCATTTGAAAAGAACATGCAAAGCAATGTAAACCATTGTGTTTGATTTGCGATTTGAACAATTCTATAGTGTATTATAAGGTAAAATTATGCAAGACTGAAGGCAGAAATGGGACAAGGATAACAAAGAAAGGATAGTCATCCAAAAGTTCAAAGGTAGGCAGATGATCAAAGGTTAAACATGAGAAAAGAAATGATTCTATTCAAGTTGAAGATAGGACATTGTAACCCAAATAAATGTTTAGCTTCAATTAAAACTCTTGGAAACAGACTTTTGTATGCCAGGAAAAGTTCTCAAAGTCAGAACTTAGATTTCTTTCCTCCCCACTTTCCAGCTTCAAATGCAAGATGTCGAAAGAAGAAGATTTAGCTATCACTATAGTCAGGGATATCTCAATTTCATTTAAAAATGTCGCTTGTTATAAAAAGGAGAGGGCAGGGAAGATAAGATACCTTTTAAATTACCACATGGAGATGTGGAATGAAAATAGTTTAGCTTTCTAAAGCTGGTGAGGAAAAGATGGAGAAAGCAAAAACTTAAAAGGTTTTCCTTCATACCGATAGCAGCAGAAGGTCAGGAGAAGGAAGAAAAAGACTGGCAGCGAAAATGAGAAAAAGAAGAGCAAGGAGAGAGATTAGCCCAATATGAGATACATTTTATTAGAAGGGGGAAATCCAAGCTACTGGCTCACAAAAATTACTAACATTTTTTGTTTTGTTGATTAGCAATTGGTTCATTAATATTTGAATAAAAGCAATGCGAGAAGGCAAAAACAAGAGCACTTCCATTACTACTTTCAGGAGAAGTGATAACTAACCTTCTTTTTTAGAATTCTGTGCTGGCCATCATTACTCATGGCTAACCAACTTTACTACAGAACTTTATAGAGATCACCTCACTTTCTTATCTCCAGTTGTGGAATATATTTTTCTTTACCGGAGGTAGCAGCAATGGAGACTGAACAAAAGGAAAATGATGCCCCTTCCACACATCTGAATAAAATCCCACATTATCTGCTTTGAACTGGAATATATGGCAGTGTGGACTCAGATAACCCAGTTCAAAACAGATATTGTCAGATTTTCTGCCCTGATATTCTGGGTTATATGGCTGTGTGGAAGGGCCCTGAGTCTCTCACACCAGAAATCCATTTGCACCACACAATTATTGTGCTAAAATCCACTTTAACTATCATGGGTGCATCCAAAGAGCACATGAGCAATATGTTGTGCATATCTGGTAATTCTTATTTAAGTTCTATGTGGCTTGCACAGAATGAAGACACCGATTGTTTGCTATTTATGAGGATGTTTCCAGGGTCTGTCACTGTTGCCATTACTCCAGAGAGGGTGGCTTAGGGGAATATTTAGACCATTTCTAGTAAAGTGCAAATGGCAGAGTTCAATAAAACAATAAAATCATGAGTGAGATGCCAGTTATTGTGTCAGAGTTGAGGTCATCAGGCTAATTATAACTTATCTGTTGAATGTGTTTTTCCTACTTTATGCCAACAATGTCACCAATAATTCGAATATTTGACATACCTGATTTGTTGGATCATACTGATGACCAGCATTTTCCGTCTTCCCATCATAAGTAATATTAACATTAGTAACTGGTGCTGTGATTCCCCAGACGTGCAGGGAACCAATTGTCAAATTAACTGTGTCAGTTAAATAGTTGTTGTGGACCACAGAGACAGTCAGAGTATTCTGAAAAGACCATAATGGATTTATACGAAAAATTTAGGTATAGACTTAATATACTTCAAGCAAATTACATCAGTTCTAACTGACTTTAAAACCAGCCATAAGGACACAACACAAAATTTACACTTTTTTGTTCAATTTACAGTCACTGCATATCAAGTGACGATGTCTGAGCATGAAGCCTAGTTAAGCAGTTTAGCCTGGTATTTTCATGTGAACTCAAAATAATGGCTGATATCCAAAAGTTACTTCCAACAAAATGAGTTACTTCCTTTGTACAACTCCCATGACATACTACTGCTTTTGAAATTTTCTTCAGTTATTCAAAACAATTTTGCTATACCAAAGGGAGTTCCACTGCAACAGAAACACACATCCAGTTCAGGTATGATTGCTGGCCAATTTTCAGTCATGAAATGGGGCAGCATTGCCAGGAAAATTATTGGGCCTTGGACCCCCTGTGGGGACCCAGGTTTGATCTACCACACTTATAGTACAGAGACATGATGTGGAAAATAGTTTTACAATGGGGCATGGCATTCAAAACATTTAAGAGTGTTTAGGAAATGTGTTATAGAAAATGCTTATTTTCCCTTAAATCATTTGAAGGGAAGTGTTAAGGCACATACCTCAGATACTTGAAATCTTGAGAAGTAGTAGTTGCCATTTTCATATGTATCTGCAAAAGAAGAACAGATTTTTTTTTTTACTATTGCCTTTTGGATACTTGGCTAAACTTTTAGCATGGGTGAGAAGAAGCACAAGTGAATCTAGGATTTCCAAGCAAAGCTAGGGAACAGCCACAGATTTTGCAAAATCCTCCACTTAAGCAGAGAGGCTGTACTTTTGATCCTGAAATTACTGTTAGATCGTATCTTTGGCTCAAGAGATGAACATCCAAATCAGGATTAAGCCTGGAGTCTATGGTGTTCAAACCCCAGGATAGTACCAGTATCATATGTGATGAATAAGCCCAATCTATTGAAACTAAGAAGAGATTATGTCCATACAGTTCAAAAAGGTTTTAGATTAAGCTCCCTGTTCCCCTCCTTAAAATTGCCCACAAATACCTGCCAACATGAAGTGGTCTGATTAGGCATACCTTGCATAAAAAATGTAGGGATTTTTATATAAGTTGGTATATATTTTTTACTAGTTGGCCGTACTAAATGACATATGGACATATGTGGAAGGGGGCTCTCCTTCCGAAGACCTCACTCCCTCATTGGGCAGTGGAAAGCTGTCCATTGGGCACCATTCTCAAAGGATAGATTGTCTTGATTCCTCCTCCTCCTCCTCCTTCTAGATTGAATTACCTTTATGCATAAATCTCTGCTGCTAGGATTTATGACAACACACATGCATGGTCCTCATCTAGTGTCAGTTTGGGGAATTTTGGAATTGAAATAGTTAATACAATATGTATTTTTCCTATATGTCTTTGACACCCCCTTTTTAATATTTAGGAAATCTTTATATGCTTATGTTTATCCTAATTCTGTCTTGTTCTGTATAAGATATTTCCATGACCAGCTTTTTGTGATCCAAAAGGATTTAAGACTGAGAGTGGCAATACTGATCTGGGTCTTCCCAAGCCTGAGTCTGTCATATAATCATAGAATCATAGTTGGAAAAGACCTTGTGGGCCATCCAGTCAAACCCCCTGCCAAGAAGCAGGAACATTGCACTCATAGAACCCCCTAAAGATGGCCATACAGCCTCTGTTTAAAAGCCTCCAAAGAAGGCGCCTCCACCATAAACAATTTTCACCTCAAACAATTGGATTATGTTGGTTTACAATTATACGAGAGAACTTCACATTTATGACAATTGCATGAGTATTAAAGCATGATCATTCAAATAAACATTTCTTAATGTTTTTCTAAATTTTCAAACACATCAGTACACAGAGGAAAAAATGAAAGGGAGTGGGAGTGTCTCACTTCAAAGAACAGCACATTTTCGTTGGCATATGTATTCACTGAGTTCAGTTCAGTTTTTCATATGCATAAGAAAAGGTAAAAGCTAGTGGCAATTAATTGTTATTTTTAAGATGCCATCAAATTTGTTTTTTAACTTTCGACAAAACATTAAACAAATTATATTAAATATATTTTATACCACAGAGATATTTATATATAAAAATACAGCCTGCATATGTTTGTGCTCGCAAAACTCGAAAAGCAGTTGGCCCATTGACTTGAAATTTTGACACAACATAAACGTTGCATACCAATACGCGCATGTTTTTATAGTAAAATGAAAATTTAAAAATGTTGCATTTCAATATGCACAACAAGCAGTCCTGGAAAAGACAAAGTGCCCACACTTTGTGTATATGTGTGTTGGGGGTATGAGCTTTTTTAGGGTAAAACATTAATGGCCAGTAAATAAGTCATTGAGAGGTATCCCAACCTTATACTGTAGAATGGAGTAAGGACTTTTCAAAAACTATTTATTTATCATGTCATCAGCAACCAGACATTTGTATTACATTTTTAACAAAAACAAACAAACAGACAAAACACAGAATTTGCAAGCTTGGTAGTTGATTAAATGTCCTTTGACCAGTGTCTGGCCTCTTGGAGTGCCTCTGGTGTTCCCGCAAGAAGGTCCTCCATTGTGCATGTGGCAGGGCTCGGTTGCATTGCAGCAGGTGGTCTGTAGTTTCCTCTTCTCCACACTCGCATGTTGTGGATTCCACTTTGTAGCCCCATTTCTTAAGATTGGCTCTGCATCTCGTGGTGCCAGAGCGCAGTCTGTTCAGTGCCTTCCAAGTCGCCCAGTTTTCTGTGTGCCCAGTTGGAGTCTCTCATTTGGCATCAGCCATTGATTGAGGTTCTGAGTTTGAGCCTGCCACTTTTGGACTCTCGCTTGCTGAGGTGTTCCAGCGAGTGTCTCTGTAGATCTTAGAAAACTATTTCTTGATTTAAGTCGTTGAAGTGCTGGCTGATACCCAAACAAGGGATGAGCTGGAGATGTCACTGCCTTGGTCATTTCACTATTGGCTGCTACTTCCCGGCAGATGTCAGGTGGTGTGATACCGGCTAGACAGTGTAATTTCTCCAGTGGTGTAGGGCGCAGACACCCCGTGATAAGGCAGCATATCTCATTAAGAGCCACATCCACTGTTTTAGCGTGGTGATATGTGTTCCACACCAGGCATGCATACTCAGCAGCAGAGTAGCATAGCACAAGGGCAAATGTCTTCACTGTGTCTGGTTGTGATCCCCAGGTTGTGCCAGTCAGCTTTCAAAAACTGAGGAACTATGAAATGATTGTGTCATAGGAATGGTATATGACCTTTTGGGGAAGCATAAAGGCCTAGACTGGAATCTCAGAAGAGATGGCTTCAATGTCAATGCTCATTTTTTTCATAGGAAAACGTCTTTTAACTGCCTGAGAATGAAATGAGCTACACAACCCTGAAATCTACCGAGGGAGAATGAGAAAGAAATTTATTAAGTGGGAACCAGTGCTTGGCTCTTTGACTAGCAAAATACTCACCAATACCAACTCCATCGTCCCAGTAAAGTTGTCCTTGGGCAATCCCATTGTCATCCAAAGCAATGGTAAGGCCCATGGGATTTTGTCGGCTGGAAGAAAAATATATATAAAACTTTACCAAAAGGAAAATATCACGGTATCAAAGACCTTTCCTCCAAGGCACAAGAAACATGATTTTAATCTCAGCATTGTAGCCTACCAATGTTAACAGTAGTTCAACACAGATGTAGAGATAATGCATGTAAAGGCAATTCATACATGGACCTGAGGGACCACATTCAGGTCTTTGAAACTTCTGACTTAAACCTTGAAACTTCTAGAGAAGTCAAAACGTCTTATCCCCAATGTTTGTTTAAAATGTTCATTTTCATTCTTCAAGAAAAAAACATACACCAGATTACTATTAGCAACACAGCAATACACCTAAATAGGTGAAAAAATCCAACTGCTCTGACATGGATTTTGTGGAGATGTAAAGTTGTCATGTGGATATAGATGTCTACATCCTCAAGGACTGCCCAGAAGAGAAGTTCAGTGACTCTTGAAGTCAGTCCACCTCTAAAACCTAGACTACGAAATCAGCCAAAAAATAAGCATGAGAATATTACGTATAAATGTCAATCCTGGGTGAATGGAGCAAAACTACCTTTGCTCTTTCTACTAGGCATGCTGAAACACATGATACTTAAGATTAGACAAATCTACATGACACTCAAATCAACTTGATGTGAATTTCCTTACCTAGCACTGGTAGTAATATTAGGCACCTGCCAGGGAATTACATAGCCACCACGGATATGAAGATTGATATGCTCTAAAGGTGCTTCCAATGTCTTGAATTGTTTTCGCACTTTAATATCTGTCCCCTATAAGAAATTCAACATGGTAATCAAAGATCTACAGGAGAAGCTGAAAATGTCACATCTAAATTATAGTGTTCCTCCCATGCATTTACATCATAATTTCAAATGCTGTCTTTCTGTTATTTCCTAATCCACGTGCTTTATCAAAGTGTCACCTAATTTGGTAAACTATCTAGTTGGACTAAAATGGTTTTGAACCTGATCCATCCACTACTACATGTACCACATGGATAAAAACACATACTTTGAATTTCTGTGTTTTCACTGATGTGTTCTGACACAATTTATTCACAGAGATCTTGCCATTGCCTTTTTTCAGGCTGAGACTGTGTGCCAGTGGTTTCCTGTGACTAAGTGGAGGTTCGGAATTAAATGACATTATCAGATATCTGGCGGTAGCTGGTGGCAGTGCTGCTCTTAAGGGCAAGGCATGGAGGCCCTTGCCTCACCTCGCATCACATGGTATTCTCTATTGTCCTTTTCAGTATGGGAAATGGAAGGACAGAAGAATTCTCTCTCCCTTCTGCTCTCTCACTAAAACTCGCAGATCATGAATAAAGTCACTAGATTTCGTACAATTGCCATTGTGATTGTTAGACAGATGATAAAAAAGCAGTAGATGATGACAATAAACAGATTTCTAAGAAATATTGTGGTAGCCAAGTGAGCCTCTTGGGGGTCATGCACAAGTCTTGGGCTTAGGTAGAGTGTTGTGACTTTCATCGTCATATTCTAGTTTATGAACCTTTTGTTAAAAAACCAATCTCATTTAAATTTGTGTCTGACTTTCAAACCAGTGAGAAACAATTTGAGATTGCTTACCGTATGATAATCATACCATCGTGCATCTGGTATGTAAGCATTAACTGTCACAGCACCCTAAGATTTAACAAGATTAAACATACAATGAAGAAAAATAGAAATACTGTGAGTGCATTTCATTTACTGTATGCATTGATCCAGTTATATATAAGTACTGGAATTATAAGATTGCTTACTTGATCAAGTACAGGACTAATCATCAGTGCTGGTCCCCATAAAAATTGCTTGTAGATGTCCCAGGTTGTCTTGTCATTAGCAAACCTGAGACCATTGCAAACAAGAATTAATGAAGGATTACTTAATCATTCTGATTCACAACTTAAGTGTACTATGAAGCAACTCCTAACTGTAACACACTTTTTCTACATTCACATATCTGCATGCACATATTTCAAATGATTTCTTGATATTATGACATATCCAGTAGAAGATTTATATGTATGTATAAACACACACACACCCTTTGGTCTGGTGCCAACACCATTATTTTGTCTGAGGCCTGATGTGCTTACTGAATTGATGTTAAATACGATTCGGTATATGAGTATTTGCTTTCAAGTCACTTGTCGGTTTACTACGATTCATTAATTTCATGGAGTTATCTTAGGCAAGGAATTCTCTGAAAAGATTTTGCCAGTTTTTTTTCTTTTGAAATATAGCCAATAACATGTGGTCTTTGTTGGCAGTCTCCCATCTAAGTACTTAATCAGATCTGATGCTGCCTAGAATCCAAACTAAGATTGGAGTTCTGTAGCAAGAAACCCCCGAATAGGTTTTCAGAAAGGAACAACGACCAATATTGCACTGATGCTTCAGGGGAAGTTTAGGGGGAGAAAAATTGTGGAAGAAGTAAGATTTAGAATCTTGCAGCAATGATTCCAAAGAATGAATTGTGCTAAAACTAATCTGAGCTATTTTCTGACTTAGCTTGAAAAATACCTCAGCCTGCCTCACTCTCCTCCAAATCATGCAATGACAAATTTATTCAGCTGTATTCCCACAGCATGAGACCATCTAATACTTACTCATGCAGCAAAGGACGTGAAACTGTGCTGCCATCAACATGGGCATTATGCATTAATGTATAGAGATAGGGTAGCAATCTGTATCGTATGTTAAGCACGTTCCGTGAGATATCTTCAAATGTTGAGTTAAAGGAGACAGGATCTTGCCTCTGCAAAAGAAACACACAGTTCATTCAAGATTTACAGAATGTTTTTTCTGGACTCCCCTACTGCAAAAGTAAATGTCGGGAAACATCAATGAGATGAGTTATAGTAGATTTGCAGACTCACACACACACACACACACACACATATATATATATATATAGAGAGAGAGAGAATACACAATAGGCTAATATACTCAATCAAATAGAAAGGGTGAGGGGTTAACAGGTAATGTTTTGTAGACTTAGCATGATGATGGTCACAACCAGAAAAAGTATAACCATCTGTACAGTTATCTGGTAGGGCTGGGCAGTTTCATTTCGTTAATTCGTTAATTCGTAATTCGTTAAAAACGGAAAAATTTGTTTCTAAAATCGATTTGTATTTGGGGTTTTTTTTTGTTTCGATATTTAAAATAATTACAAAATTTTCCTTTTAAAAAGTTCGATATTTACGAAATTTCGTAAATGGTAAAAAATTAACGAATCTATTTCCGAAACAATAACGAATCGATTCGTTAATGGCGGACGCGACCGCGAAATACGCTAAAAAACCTCCAAAACCTTCTGAAGCTTCCCTCTCCCTCTGTTGTTGACTGTTGGTGTAATATTATATTTTTTTTTCACTAATTAAACCATAAAACTGGCCCAGACATGCGGAAATAATAACGAAACGACCTCAAAACAATAACGAAACGAATACAATATCGAAATACGAAGCATTTACAAAACGTTTTTGAAAATTCGGTTTTTTTTAATAATTGCTCCAGAATGGTTCGTTATCGCTTTGTAATTGAAAAAATTAACGAATTATTAACGAATTACGAATTAACGAAACGAAACCGCCCAGCCCTACTGCTTATATATACACACAGCATTCCATGCTGTATTATAATCTAAACAATATCGAGCTTTATGGTAGGTATATTTGACTTGCAATCTTTGCCAACAGTAGTGAATTAAAGGAAAATGAACACCCAGAGGGATAATTTGTATCTAAAAGTTAATCCTTTCACTGTTCATTTCTCAAATAATTAAAAAAAGTTGGAGAATGCCATTGAGCCAATATTGCATGAATGCAAGCCATGAACGTCCACAAATCTTTAAAATGATTAATGAGTACAGTCTTTACCACTTATAGATCAACTGGTAATAGGGAAAATTATTTCCTCATCAGTAAAATTAGATATAAGGATCAGAATAAAGGTATTATTCAAATTAATGACTTCTCATTCATTCTTGGAAGATTACCCAAGAACAATGCAGTCACTATATGACTGCATACAACACAGTGCCGAAAAGAGTTGACGCACCCGAGTTAACAACACATTATGATTTCTGGAGAAAGTGTAAAAGGCTCCAAGCTCCATCCATCGGGCACACATTTCATAGGTTGTATCATTGAAGAATCCACAGATGTCAGCACCAGACTAAAGGCATCAAAACAAGAGAAAGATTAAAATATCCCATGACAGAGTATATGTGTTTCAAAGAATTTTCAAAAAATGTTTGATTCAAACAGCATAACTTACATAAGAGATTCCAAAAAGGCTGAATTCCAAGATACCTATCAAAATGAGAGAGAATACCATTTTCTGGGAATAATGAAAATGTTTCATAAGAAAACTGCAGAAAAAAATATTTTGTGTAACTATTTTGAACCTATTTTATGTACTTTCCTTCCCCGCCCTCACAAACATATATACTGCAATACGCAAAATGAGTTTTATCTAGAGATAATATTACAGACTGGGTGCTGATTTGGAATATCGTTTGCATATACAGCAGAAGATTTTGTGTATTGTGGCATGTATGTGTGTTACTAAGAATGTATACATTGGCCGGTTCCAGGCATGAGGTCACTTTAATTATAAATAACATATTCCTTCACTAAATATGTTGATAATAAATATTTTGAAATACATTTCCTGGCAAATAAGATATGTTTCATACCAATCACAGATTTATCAAGCTGATCCCATCTTGCATAGTTGTCACCGAGCCAATGTCCTGCCCATCGACCACTGGATGGATATGTTGAGCGGGTGATAATGATTCCACGTTCCCTTGTGGCATTGCGCATGCCACTGTGGGGAAGATAAAAAGATAGAGATTTCTCATGTTAATATTTTTTAAAATAAACAACAACAACAAGTTATATACTCTAAATAGAGAATGTGTTACTTAAAAATTCAACTGCAGTTGAAATTTAAACCATGCAAACAACTTACTAGTAAGTGGACTCTGCTTGTGACCATCCATACAGGTTATGTACATCGTAATGTCTCAAAGGTGTCCCATCAGGAAGTTGCTGTTCACTTTCCATGCACATCGTAACAAGACTCAGTCCTCTCTCTCTTAAGACCAATGCTAACACAGATAGAGTAAGAAGATACCATTAAGAGGAAATGTATAGCATTGCATGAATCCGAAAACTAAATCACTTCATCAGGATACGATTAAAAAAATACTGTCTTCTTCACAGGAACTGAGGATTTTACTATGTTTCAGTGACCAATCTAGCATGTATGTATATATATATAGAGAGAGAGAGAGAGAAAGAGAGAGAGAGAGAGAGAGAAAGTTTGTGCAGCTCTAGGATTGTCACCTGCTTCGAAAGCACTGTTTTATTGTTATATATTCTGGCTCATTCAACAATGTCTTAAAGTGCCTCTTTCATGTAACTGCTTGGCAGTCTCTCATAATAATTTTGAGAATTTTTGGGCATCTATCTTTACAGAACTGTAAACAATAATCCGTATTTCCAGAACAACCGGGGGTGGGGGGTGGGAGGGGATGATTCAGTGAAGCACATCAGCTCCATCTAAATTGTCATATAATACAATTTGAAATTGCACAATATGGTCATTGTAGACCAGTGGTAGCATACCTATGGCATGCATGCCAGGAGGAAAACTCAGCATCCTCTCTCCTGGCACTTGAGCTGTTGCCCACCTCCTGCTCACCATCCCTCTCTCCCGTTTGCCTGCCCATTCACCCGTGCCTCCACTCGCTCACTTGCCTGCCTTATTTATTTATTTATTTATTTATTTATTTTTTCCAATATTTCTATCCTGCCCTTCTCAACCCCCGAGGGGGGACTTAGGGCGGCTCACCAATCTCCCCCCTGTTAACACCCCCTGTGTACCCCTCTCCCCAATTTGGGCACTAAATCTCTAAAAGGTTTGCTATCACTTGTGTAGTTTCATATAATGTCACTCAGTGCAGGCAAACCACATTATATGAGTTTACACTGACCATTTAAAGCAATTTCAGAATCTCTTGGTTCATCCCATTTGACTCTATAGTAAACTTTCAAAGGAATTGACCACAGAATTATGCTGGAGGATCTAGTTTCCTCCATATGACATATTAAGCAAATCTGTGAATAACCAAATCCTCAAAACTGAAATTTGCAAATGCAGAGTACTGTAGATTGTTTGCTAGAAGTTTGATGGTTAAATTATTTCTAGATTGATGAGGAGTAATCATTGTTTTCCATTATGTATTGCCCCACAAACATAAAGTGAAGACCAAATACATAACTTCTTCAGAACTACATATTTATTTAAGAACTACATTCTTTCATAATATATACATCAGTGTATTTCACAACATGGGAATTTGGTTAAATGTAAGTGATAAGGAGAAAGTAAACTCATTTGAAACGTGATACTGGAAAAGTTATGATAGACTTCTGAAAAGATAAAGAGTGCATGAAGTGTTAACTCCTACTAGAAGTCAAGAGGACTAAGCCGAGATTATCAAATTTAGAACACATCATAAAATGATACAACTCACTAGAAAAGACAATAATGCTTTGTAAGGTAGAAGGCAATAAGAAAAAAGGAAGACCTAAAATTGGTATACGAAATTGAAAAGTTACATAAGAAGAGGATAGAACTGGAAACAGAACAGATGGCTAAAAAATTAAAATATGCGAAACAATCACATTTTTACAATGCGAACAAAATCGGAACCTGGCTGGCAAGGAAAATTGGAAAAGCGAAACAAAAGCAATACATCACGAAGATTATTGCAGATAAAAGAGAGTACACGAAGGATAGTGATATAATAAATCAATTCAATGCTTACTATGGAGGGCTATACTCAAAAGGAGAATCCTGGATAGATGAAATTGCCGGTTACTTGGGAAACAAAAGCTGGAGAAGATCTTGGAAGAACATAGAGGAAATTTAAACAAAGAAATAACAAACCAAGAAATCCAAAACGCAATTAGGAAGTTAGACCCCTCAAAAACACCGGGACCAAATGGATTTACGGCTGCTTATTACAAGACATATGAAAAAGATTTGGCTCCAAAATTGAAGGAATTAATTAATCAGGCATTGGAAAATCAAAAAATTCCAAACACATGGAAACAAGCAAAAATAACAATGATTCACAAAGAAGGGACAGATACAGATGTAAAGAACTACAGCCCCATATCGTTGCTCAATGTAGATTATAAAATATTTGCAAGTATAATAGCCGAAAGATTGAAACAATTCCTTAAAGAATGGATTCAAGAAGAGCAAGCCGGCTTCCTCCCTCAGCGTCAAATTAAAGATAATATAAGAACAGTGGTGAACATCATAGAATACTACGAAAAAAATATAGATAAAGAGTGTGCATTACTCGCACTAGATGCCGAAAAGGCCTTTGACCGAATAAATTGGGAGTTCTTCCTAACACTAGTGAAAGAATTAGACATGGGTTACCATTTCATCAACTCAATACAAGCTATATATAGTACTCAGGAAGCCAAAATATGCGTGAATGGTCACACAACAGAAAATATAAAAATACAAAAAGGTACCCGACAAGGGTGCCCTTTGTCCCCATTACTCTTTGTTATGTCACTGGAGATACTTCTAAATAACATCAGAAAAGATAAAAGGCTGAAAGGAGTGAAAATACGAAACCACTCATATAAGGTGAGAGCATTTGCAAATGACATAATTTGTATGATAGAGGACCCAAGAGAAAACTTCGAAAAGTGGATGACCAAAATAGAAGAATTCGGTACACTGGCAGGATTTACTATAAACAAAAACAAAACAAAATGGTTAACAAAAAATATAACGAAAGAACGTCAACAAATACTAGAAGGAAGAAGTGGGATACAAGTGGCAGACAAAATAAAATATTTAAGCATAAACTTGACTGCAAAGAACTCACATTTAATGAAGAATAACTACGATACAAAGTGGAAAGAGATCAGGAATGAGATGGCCAAATGGAAATACCTGAACCTCTCTATGTTAGGGAGAATTTCAGCCATCAAAATGACGGTATTACCAAAACTCCTCTTCCTTTTTCAAGTTATCCCAATAATCAGGAACGCACAAGTGATTAAAAACTGGAATAAAGAAATTTCAAAATTTGTGTGGAGAGGAAAGAAATCGAGAATAAAATTTACAAGCCTGATAGACGACAAGGACAGAGGCGGACTAGGGCTCCCTCACTTACAAACATACCACAATGCATGCGGGTTGACATGGGTAAAAGAATGGGCCAATATAAATAAACCTAAAATACTGGTGCTAGAAGGCCATGACCTGCGAAGCGGTTGGCACGCGTACCTCTGGTACAACAAGAAGAAAATAGAAAAGAACTTTGGCAACCACTTTGTCAGGTCTTCATTAATAAAGATTTGGGAAAAGTATAAAAACAAATTTTATCAAAAGACTCCTTTATGGATCTCCCCATTAAAGGCATTCCAAAGAAGAGAGCTCGGATGGGAAAATTCGCCTAAATACAAGGATATTTTGAAGAAAGATAGAGAAGTATTTAAGTTAAAAACATTAGAGGAGATTAAAGCAACGTACGGAGAAATTTCGTGGTTTCAACATAGGCAGTTAAATGAGGCATACAACAAAGACAAAAAAGACAGATTTGAAGACAGAGAAAAACAATGGGAAAGGATCATGGCATCGGGAAAAAAAGGAATTACAAAACTTTATAAAATCCTACTAAATTGGAAAACGGAAAAAAATAACATAAATAGCTACATTACAAAATGGACAGCCTATCTGGGACATACTATAGGAACAAAGGAATGGGAAAAAACTTGGACGATAAAAATAAAATGCATTAATTCCTACAGTTTAAGAGAGAATTGGATCAAAATGATGTTCCAGTGGTATCTAACACCAAGTAGGCTAGCAAAATACTACAAGAATGTAGCTGAAGAATGTTGGAAGTGCAAGGACAAGAAAGGCACCTTTTTCCATCTCTGGTGGACTTGCAACAAAGTCAAAAAATTCTGGACTGAGATACATAAAATAACGACTAAAATATTAAAACTAAGACTAGAAATGAAAGCGGAACACTATCTGCTAGGAATCACAGATCCAGAGGTGGACAAGAACAAAGACAAGCTCTTATTCCAAGACTAGTACTAGCAAGCAAGTGGAAAAACGAGGAGATCCCAACGATAGATGAAGGGAGACTAAAATGAATGGACATAATGAACACATTGACGCAATATTTGAGATCCAAACAGAGGACTGGAGGCAGTAAAACAGACTGGTCTCCAATCAGGGAGTACTTAGAAGGGAATTAAGAACTGATATAGTAACTGAAAGAAATAAAAGAAGACAGAAGATAATCACAGTAGAAGATACACTAAATACTAACAAAGCTATAGGGGACATAATAAGTAAATAAAAATACTAACACACTTCACGTCCCACTTGCCAAACCCCGCACAACCCACCCATTTCCCTTTAGAAGAGTTCTACCCTACCCAACCCTACCCGGCCCCTTGCCCACACACCCCCACCCTAGTTGATAGGACACCCGACTTCCCTATCCCATCTTCCCCTTCACTCCCTATTTGCTTCTTTTTAATTAAAACAATATGTCAATGATCAACATCTTATTGATGTACTGTTAGTAGAAAACCTCAATAAAAATATAAAAAAAGAAACAGAAAAAAGGAAGACCACATTACACATGGATATAGAATCATAGAATAGAATCATAGAATCAAAAAGTTGGAAGAGACCTCATGGGCCATCCAGTCCAACCCCCTGCCAAGAATCAGGAATGTTGCATTCAAATCATCCCTGACAGATGGTCATCCAGCCTTTGTTTAAAAATATACTCAATTAAGGAAACAAACCATGGCTCTGAATCTGTAAGACCTGAATAAGATGACTTGGAGGGCACTTGTTTATAGGATCACAATAAATTGAAGTCAGGAGACAACAACAACGTTTCATTATTTATTTATAGAAAGTAATGGTTTTGAATCATAAAGGTTATTATGGTAAGACTATGGTATTTCCATCATTGTGATCAGAGTTCACAAACTTTTTGTCACTAGATTTCTCTTGGTCAAACTATTTTTAATGAAAGATGCCTTGCAAAAAAACAATTATTTGAATGCTTTTGATACGAAATAAATAAATAGAATCAAGAAATCAAGTCAGTTTTCTATGGAGCTTAATTAGGAGCTGGACTAGGCACTATGTATTTAAGAACATTGTTTTACCTGGCATATATGGAGGATAATTTAAATCTGGATCTCTACAGCCACCAATAGCTCCATCAATGAAATTGGATGGTTCATTCATGTCCTGTAGAATACATGAAAAACCAAAATATGAACAAATTATAAACATTAACAAGCCATATTGTTCATTGCTTCCAATATTTGAGCACTGATAAATTATATAATTAATTTCAAGATATGAATGCATACATTTATTTTTGAATACACATGCTTGGCTTCCATAAAGAACCTCAAAATACTTACAAGTCATAATATATATCATAAAACATCACCAGTTTATCAACTACATCGTACATGCTCAAAATCAACGCATCAATAACCTCAATCATTTTTTAAAATAAAAAATCTAATAAATATCAGGTAGTGACTTTACTTTTATGGAATTATTGCAATATATATCAATAAATCCTATCCTGATGACCTTTGAGATGAACCCTAGAGAAACATTTTATTTATCTTGGCTTGTACTTGAACAACAATTGGGACAATCATCAAAGTATTTCTATTTGGTTTTAATAGATAATTGCTGTTTTCCCCACCCCATTGTTTATTATGCTTTAGATATTGTAAATTATGCTATATGCTTTTTATGCCAATTTGCCTGATTTTTTTCTTATAATATTATAATAATATTTTTGGTAAAAGAAAAAAGAAAAAAAATAGAATGTTGCATGACACTTACAGTCCATAGGCCATCAAATTTTAGAACATTGGCATGGTAATTTTCTATTTCTTCTTGCCACCACTGTGCAGTGGAATTGCGGAAGTAATCAGGGAAAGCAACATCAGCTCGGCAGCACTGATTGTGATAGAGAAAACAAAATATTTTTTTTAAAAAAGTTTCACACTTCTGCACAGCTTTCAGAGTGCTTTACAAAATAAGATGCAGTGCATATTTTAATTATGCATCTAATATATTACTAAAATAATTTTTGTTGGGATATTTTTTAGCATACAAAAAATTTGTGCAAATCAAGAATCAGTATTTAGGAGGGACTCTTCTCATAATCATCTATCCTACCCTACAAGACAGGATAAGGATCTAGAATATGGGGTCACTTCCTAGCTCCAAGTGATCCTGGATGAAATACATTTTTTGATCCATTTCATGTCTTTGTTAGTTTGATGGATGACATGTACTAGGATGTAGATGGGGAGTTACTGCTTGTTAGTTATGCTGTCTTTGGTTCATATGTGGCTCTGAAAAATAATGTTGAAGGCAATAAATGTGATACTTCCCAAAATGTACGTACTGCAAGTTGTTCTTCCAAGCTTGAGTCTTCAGGATATGTTACATTAGGATAATCTGGCCACACCTAGTTGTAAAAGAGACAAAGAAAACCAGGCATGAAGAATAGAAGAACTAGTCTACTGTTTTAGATTCTGAAAAGCTAATTCAAGGCAGAAGGACAATCATATGTAGAAAACCTGGTTCTGCACATCTCTCATCATTCTAGTCATCTTCTTCTACACAACAAATAATTGGTATTTTGGAGTCACATTGAACACGATGACAATTTGCAATAGTACCTTAGCCCAAGCGATGTCTGTGCTATTAGGCCATGTAATGAAGACCTTGTTCTGCAAACCTTTCGTAAAAGTCTTATATGATTCGGTTTCATTGCCAGAAATCGCTGGATCCTATAATGGAAACAACACACTTTTACCTTTACAATCGATCAGAAGATATGTCTTTCTTTTCATCCATCCCTTTTAGAAACTGCCTTTTTCAAAAGAAATCTGACAAGTCAAAAATGCATGCAAAATGCAAACACAAAATATAGTGTAAACAAATGGACTGTTCATTAAATTTTGTTCTTTATTAATAATAAACATGCACAAGAAAATTATCACCTTAATTAATTGGTCAGCAAGATTAATTTTGTGGCTCCTAATTCCATCCCCACCACCCAATTTCCTATTTCCAATTCCTGTTTTTGTTTGCTGGGTTCTTTGTTTCATCATTTCTGATTTTAGTTCCTTTGTTTGTTTGGCAGTCTACATAGTTCCCAAAGTTTCCCAGGTTAAAGAAAAAAAAGTCTCAATATGAGATTATAGGGGTCTAATATGAGAAGGCATCAAACAACCTGTTGAGCTACACAGATATTTGCTCAGACTAAGCAGTATAGCCTCCTGTGTCTGAATGTGCACTTGTATGCACGCATATCACAAGAAGATACAGATACACAGAGATAAGAAAAGCAAGTCTGCTGATATTAAGAATGCAAAATGTATCATACTAGAATGTTTTATGGTGAAAACTAAGGAAAGAAGGATCCACTAACCAGGATGATGATGAATCTTGAACCATCTGCTTTTATTTCATTGATAAATTCAGGAAGATCACTGAAGTCTTTGCTAAGAGTAAAATCTAGCTTCCTTTCCATGTAATCAATATCTGTATATTGTACATCCTGTATTAAAATAAAAATGGTGTGACAGTGAAGTCACAAACACACATACAGAAATTTAAAACAAAATTCAGTTCTTTACTGAGATAAAAGCAGAACTTGAAAGTGTTACTAGTTTTGACTACAGCTCTCAAATCTGGGGACTAGCATATTTAGGAACCTGTGGATTCCAGAAATGATGGTGGTGGTAATGATAATGCAATGACATCAAGAGATTGTAAGATTTTTTTAAGGTGGGGGGTGCTCTTGGTCCCACCTCCTTCGTAGGTGTGGTTGGTGGTTATGAGAGACAGAGTCTTCTCAATGGTGGCCCTCAGCTTTGGAACTCCCTCCCTAGAGGCATCAGATTAGCTCCCTCCCTCCCGACTTTAGGAAAAAATAAATACTTGGATGTGGGATTAAGCTTTTGGATAATTGATTAGTGCAGTATGTGAATATGGAATGGTGCAATGATAACTGGAATGACCTGGACTATGATATTGGATTATGTGAATTTAATAATTTTAATGTTGAAATGTTTTTAGCACGTTTTTAATGTATATGTTTTTATTTGCTGGATAGGTATTGTAAGTATTCTTTGGCATCAAATTGTGCCTTTGTGTGTGCCATTCTAAGTCCCCTTCGGGGTTGAGAAGGGCGGGATATGAATATGGAAAATAAACAAATAATTCCCCCCCCCCCCATTCTAATTTGAAATACATGACCCAGTAATTGACCCAGGTAAATACAAAGTAGAATGGGATTTCCCCAACCCCATATATTTGGATAAGTCTGCATTTCTACATCTTTACTGTTATACATTTAACCTGCATATACTTTTTATGATAGGTAACAGCCTCAAAACTCACAGATATCAATGCAGAATGCAAAACATGCCAGTCTTACAGGCAAGATTAGATTGAGCAGTAAAAAGTATCAGTGATTTATATATTCAACCAATAGTGACTTTAAAAATGAAGTTGTCATTTCTGATGTTGTTGATTGGAACAAGGTTTGAGCTACAGAGGAACCAAAATGTTATATTCCCAAATAGTTAATTATAGGCACAGTACATTGCAATTAGGCTTTATCAATGTTAAATATTAGATAATTACATTTATGGGACACGGCAACCTCATTGAAAAAAATATTACTGTGTAAGGCCCATCAGTTTCTTACTTTGTTATTACTGCATATCAGGAAAAAAAAATCCTTATCTCTCATAACCATTCATTCATGAGTGCCGTTTTGCTAGGATCAATATAGCACTTATGAACAAAGGGCGGTAGGAGATAAGAAAAATTCACTTTCAATTTAGTTTTCTAATTTAATTCTATAGCCCTGTATTAAAGTAACACTGAATTGGCTCCAAACAGGTAAAGATTAATTCAAACTGTTCCACAAAATACAATGTAAAAATCATATTAGATATATATTCTGTAATATAAATTCTACTATAATACTTATAGTTATACTTGTGCAAATTCTAGAAGAAGCATGGATTTAGTTTTTTACCATGTACAAAATTAAAGAGTGAAGTATAAAATAGCCTTGTGTATGCTGAACTATTTCTTCCAATTCAACCTATTTTACACAGGCATGTTTATGTGCAAGCTTTATAATTCAAATCTGCAGTTGCCTCAATTCTTACTAGATCTCTCCCACTGCCATCATTACATGAAATTTGTAAGATGCCTCAAGTCCCACTAGAGGGGGAAAGGGAGGGGGGTATAAATTAATAAAAGAATATGGCAAGCTAGTGAGTAGAAGCTGGAACAAGTCTAATTGAAACTAAAACCAATGCACAGGTAAGCTTTGGCCATAATTTAAATGAGTTACCGCTCTACAGATTGTCTCAGCATGAGGCACAGATACATAACTCAGGGGACATGGTGTGCTAACTGCAAGCAGAGGACATCAAATGAGAAGGAAATTAAAGAAACCATTATCTGCCATCTGAAGATGAGGGCTCTCTATGGGAAAGATAGGCTTAAAGGCGTAAACTTTCCCTAAGACTGGATCTTGTCCTGTGCCATAGCACCCAAATATGTGATAAAAAGAAGGAATAATTCCAACAAAATTAAAGGGGCATATATTAACAGTCAGAAATAATTGTTAATCCAGGAGGGAGTTACAACATTTTAAGATAGTTATCATATCAGATATAACCATCTTACATAAGTAAGCCTAACAATTCAGGGCAGGAAGACAGAAATCCATCTGAATTCACAATTCCTTGAGGACAGAGCACACCTAAATTTATGCTTCCAGGTGGACCAGAGGGAAGCCTACAACAGTCATTCAGGTGCCTCCTCAATGGCTGCTTCTTTCTAGGTACAAGTTATAACCAGGAAAGAAGAATCCAAGCCAGAAGAAGACAGTAATTTGATATATCATCATCATCATCATCATCATCATCATCATCATCATCATCATCATCATCTTGTATAAAGGCTCTGTTTATTTATACAAAGTTTTGATATATATACTATTTACATTTTGTTCAGGAAAAAAATCAATAATAAAATGCTCTCATCAATATTATAATTTCTTATTGTTTTTATATTTCTAATTGTAAATCATTTTTAAATTCCCATTTGAATAAAAAGAATGACGTTATAAAAAATTCCAGTCTGGCTGTGCTTATAAGTATTTCTTTTTTACTTACAGGTTTATTGACCATAGTAAAAAAAACCAACAGTTTTTTTTTTTGCTCTTCCAAGAAACTTACATAGGGTATTTTAGCAGCTCTCATTGCATTATACAAATCACGGACTTCAGAAGTATTTTTGTATCCATAGCGGCAAAGCTGGAATCCCAAGGCCCAATAAGGTGGCATGACAGGTCGACCAATAAGCTACAATGCAATTTTTTTTGAAAAGAATCAGAAAAGGAAATGTAAAGGAAATCAAGAAATCTAGTGTTTCTAATCCAGCAAGATATGGATGCAGTTGATAGTATGAACATAGGCACGCGCATCTACCCTATAATTCAAGTTTAACATGAATAGATCAGCAAATTTGTTTAAGATCAAATTACTATGACGTATTTATTGACATGTGTATGTACTGTTACATTGATAGCATAAATGGAAGACAGGGTTCAGAGCACAGTCTTCTTTGCTGGATCAGGGCATGTAAATGAAATACTTTATCTGACTTACTCTGGTGTATTCTTGAACAACTTCTTCTGGATTTGGTCCTAAAACCATATAGAAGTCCAGAATTCCTCCAATTGTGCGATATGTGAGGGCAGGTGTTGGTTGGAAGGTGACATCTGAAAAATCCAGAAAACAGGGTTAGGACTTAATCATGGTTTGCTTGAGTTGTATTATCAATAAATGAAATTCTGTTTGGAATAGATATAGATGCCATTCTTTTACCCATAGCATTACTGTTCAGCAAAAGAACTCCATGAGCACTTCCATCATTTTCCATTCCCATGTAGAAGGGGTGGAAACCATACGAATTCAGTTTGTACTATTTTAAAAACACACAAAAACACACCAATATCAGATAAATAAAGGTTACAAGAACACAGATAAATAAACTTCTTGGCAACTGGCCAATTAATGAACACAATATTTTAAAACATAACTCAAACTGTACAGGTTATTATTTGATTAGACAACAAGATTATTGTACAAGTTCTAGATTTCATCTAGTACTATCAAGATTTTTTAAAGTAAAGGTATATATATTTACTAGACATGTAACAACAATAATAGATCTCTCAGCAATTGAATATTCTGTAAATATTATTTACATAGCAAATCTTTAAATACAACAGACCACAACATTTAACGGTTTCTAACATTCTATTTTTCTGCAGTTTTATAGGCTTCATTCACTCAGGAAATTGTATCCAAATACATTACTAAAGTAAAACATTTATAGCTGTTTTCAATTTGAATGGGATGCCATACAAATCTTTTAGTGTTTTGCACGTGAAACAATTTTGACACTGTTTGAAGCAAGCAGAAATGAACCAAACTGTTCAACTGAAAAGAGTGCTCAAAATAATGGAGTTCCTACAGGAACTGCCTTGACAGTGCCTACTTTGGTAAATGTCTGAACTCACAAAAGTCAAATTATTGTGAGCACAGCACCCTTTGCATCTTCACAGCCATTGTTTCCAATTTCTAAGATACATGATCATTGGGTCAGTTAGACAATGGTCTAATACTCAAGATAAAGATTGATTCAAGAGACCTTATTCTGATAGCCAACTCAGGAACATTGTTAGCATTATCACTATATGTCGTCTTAATAGAGTAAATAAAAGTATTTTGCATTCCTAAGCTTATCTTTTTCATTTAAAATGCACCTGGCACATTGTAAAACATTCTAAGGATATTTAGCTGATTAAAAAGGTTCACTCTAATTTCCAAGCTCAAATTATCACAGATCAAGAAAGTAACTGAATGGTGAAAAGAAAGGAAAACACTCTGCTTACACCAGGAGGTTGGTCTTTCGTGAACATTCCCCAAGTCTCCCAATTCATATCTCTCCGGAATCTAGTGTGTTCAGTTTCTCCAAATCCGTATACATACTGTGATGGCAGGAGTGTAGAAATCTGAATGAACATGTCACTGAAAGTGAAGCCTGGGACCTGAGAATTCCAGCTACAAGAAAAGATTTATTATTATTGGATAGCGCACACAATACCACATATATGTAAGACATTAGAACTTGACATAACCCATTCTTTTCCTGATGATACATTTTTGTCATAAGTAGGAAGGTGGCCTTGAGCTCATTTTGTTTTCCAGATAATCGATGTTAAATTTGATCAATCAAAAAATAAAGATTTCACTTACATAATTCTGTCAGTACTTTTCCTTTTGATCTGTATACCAAATGGATTGTTGACTATTTCTACTTGATAGAGCCGATTAGCATCTGTACTTTCAGGGTTGCTTGGGGTGAAGAGGGGGACTGGAACTTCATATCTTTTATTGTTGGGATCATAGATCTGGGGACAAGACAACGTTAGTCTTCAGTGGTTGTAAACTGTGGTGTATAACTATGTTATTCTTCTGATATCATATGGGCTTTCAGTAAATAATATTGAAGAATATTGAAAAAAAATGATACAAACCCTGCAACACTTGAAGCAATATAGAGGAGAATATTAAATAACCAAAAAAAAATCACAGTCTGCAAGTTCCAGACTTTTCTGAATGAAAACATGCACCTGGGCAAGTAGACCACAGCATTTTCTGTGTATAGTTATGCACTGAAAATAGTATTTTCTGAGAAAAAAAAGACATCTCTACATCAAATAATCTGCTTTCTGTGTAGAAAATTATGTTTCTAAAGAATAAACTGCAACAAAAACACACCCTCACATGATTTATATAGCACAGAATAAATCTTGAACTCTCAATCGTCTTTCAAATTACTTTCTCAGAAAGAAGACAAAAGTAGTAATGTTAATTTCTTATTTGTGTGCACACGTGCACGCACGCACGCACACACACACACACACACACATATGAAAACACACATCATATATATATATGAAAACATCCATAGTTCAATGTATGTCAAGCATTACTGTTCCAGTGGGAATGCCAGGAAGTATGTCTGCCCTTTGCTGATCAGAAACATGATCAAAATTTAACACCTGCCTACTGAGGCCACACTTTCACACTTTTCTGAGTACATACAAATAATGACACATTTTGATTATTTTCAAACTTTACAGATGTTGTGTGGACAATGCCACCATAATATTCTATGGCTTCCAGACATCAGATTCTAAGAGGAAAATGTATCTTCAGAGGCTACAGTTTACCTTAAACTGCAGCATGTCATTGTAATGATATGTCACTTCCAAACGAAGCAGGTCCACTGCTGGTGACCTAGAACCATATGGGTTAGGGAAGTCAGTGTTCCTATGAAGATCAGCTGTTAAGCCCACAGCAGTAGTTTGAATATTACTGGCAGTATACCCATATTTACTGGGATAATAACAGTGTGGCACTCTAGGAGTAGAAACAACCTGAAAAACAATAAGAAATGACAAATTTATCTCTTTATGATTTAAATACATTTAGTCAATTGCAAATTTAGGTCTATGCTTTTATATCATTGTAAACTTACTCTGTTTAAATAGCAAAACCAACAACAGTATATAAATTTCTAAAGTCCGCTCTATTTTCTATAGTGCATTTCTCTTTCTCAAGTTTGATCTAACCAAAGCAGAATTGTAAGACCACTTGCTTTGATCTGGACATTGTATTCTTGTTGCTTCAGCCATTGATTTTATGGGCTGTCAAAGCAAGGAATGCCAAAAATGAGTAGTCAATTGTGTTTGGTTATTCTGAGAAATTTCATTCTTTATAGGTCAAATCCCTATCCTGTTTTTATCTGCCTAAAACTGGGAGGAATTACTCCCCTGCTGTCTATTATATTTATATAGGCCTTTTCACCATTTCCTTCTTGCTCACCTCCCAGGTGCACCCACGAGCTTCACAAGTGCTTTGTGTTGGTTCTGGGTATGGATGACAGTTAAATTTGTCTGTATCTTGAATTTTCTCTGGTTCCCAGCTCAGTGCATATTCTTGCCCAACTGCAAGTTGCAAGCCTGTAATATGTAAGACCTTTGAAAATAATATTAATAATAAAAAATACTTACTTTCATATAAATGCATACCTTAAATCGTGCACTACTTTGATTAAAGATTATATACAAATTAAGATTTGGATTGCCACATGTTCTTTATATGAAGGATGTCCTTATTTGAGAGCCAGAAAGTGTGTCCCTTGTAGAATTGGCAGACCCCTTTTATTGGAAAAGATTTCCCCTATTTAAATATTGAAAATATTTTATTCTTACATCGACTGAACAAAATGTAAAAAAGAAAGTAGTGTATTTTGGAGTCTATCCATCATGTAAACTTTGTTTACATATTTTAATTTTACAAAAATTACATGGTTAAAGTAACTGAAATCACTAATTTCATTTGATATTTACACACAAAACAATCTTGTTTATAGCTACTTGCATGTGATGCATTTAGATTGTTTTGACATCCTGGCAACACTAAGTAAGAATTTTAATATCCTTGCTGAACAACATGTGCCAAAGCTGCTTCACATGGTCTTAAACATGTAACCACAGGTTGATCTGAATTCTTCTCCAGGAAACAGAGCAAATTGAGATTTGGACCCATGTAAATAAATAATTGGGGAGTTTGAATGCCCCAAGGACATAGGACAGCACCCAGTGGCACATGGAGTGATGCTCGCCAGATTAATAAAGCAACCGGAGAAGGATGGTGAAAAAGAGGGGATGACCCCTCCTCTCCTACCTCCCACTTCAGTTTTTTCCCGGCGAACATGATTCCAGGTGATGAGCAACGGGCACGATATAGGTTGTGCCCACTGGTTGCTGCGATGAGAAGAATGGGAGTGAGTGATAAGGGTGGGTTTGGTGCTGCTTGAGAATCAGAAATCCACCCAACTTCTACAGCAACCAGGAGTGGAGCTGGTGTAAACCAACCCTAGGGCCAATCCAATGTTTGCCATTCCAGATTGGCCCCAGGATAACTGCTCAGTGTAGAACTGCCTCATGTTTTGCCAAGAACTTATACCGGGATTGTGACACAGCTGGCTGAGTGTCAGCTGCATTAAGATCACTCTAACCAAAAGGTCATGAGTTCGAAGCCAGCCCGGGTTGGAGTGGGTTTCCAACCAATTGTGTAACCTGTTGTCAACCTTTGCAACCCAAAAGACAGTTGCATCTGTCAAGTAGGAAAATTAGGTACCACCTTAAAGTGTGGGGAGGCTAAATTAACTAATTTATGAGGCCATAAAGAAGACTCCAGCAAGCACTCCAGCAAAAAGCATGCGGCAAATGCAGAAGTACTTCATCAATGTCGAAGATAGACAATGAAAGCGACAGCTCCCCTGGCGGCCAGAAAAAGTTAAATAGCCTCTGTGTATGTCTGTATATGTTGTATGTCAAAATTGGCATTGAATGTTTGCCATATATATGTACACTGTAATCTGCCCTGAGTCCCCTGCAGGGTGAGAAGGGCAGAATATAAAAGATCTAAATAAATAAATAAATAAATTAAAAAGAGTTCACACAAGCTGTGGAAATTTTCCAAGAACTGCTTTAATTCATGATTTTTTTTATTTCTAAGTGGTTAAGAACACCAAATTATGATTTCATATGGGAAATTGTCAAATTTGTGACCTATTCAAAATGTTCAAATATTACAAAGTCAGGCTAGTGATTCTGTGGAATGCGATGTGTTGATTGACACCAATTAGATTAAAAGAAAAAATGGAAAATAAAAATTTTGGTGACCATGATGGTTTTGAGCTACTTAAAGGATCAGAAATAGCATGTTTCGGAATAACTTTCAATATTTGAGAAACAATGGAAAGAGGGGCCAAGATATTCATACCTTCTTTGTGAATGTCACAAGAGCACTGAGTTGGGCAATGTCATAAACCAGAAGCTAGGTTAGATAGATGGCATTCACGATGATAATATTGCTATTTTTCTTACCTGAGATGAAACATTATAAGATGTGTTGTGACTGGATGGAACTTTTTCACCATTCTGAAGTACTATAACATCAGGAATGATAGTGGATACTACTCCAAGGATTTTAATTTCACCAAATTTTAAGTTGTTTGGATCAAAATATCTCTGGTGGGCAATACCAATGTTCAAGACATTCTGAAAAAAAATCCCCATAATATTATCAGTTACAATGTTACAATGTAAATTGTTGTTTTAATGTGACGTTTTAACTGGATGGTTTTAATCTTTTAATGTTTTTGTTTATTTATTGATGGTTTGTGTACATGGTGCATCAAATTGTTGCCTTTTAAGGCTGCCCTAAGTCCCCTTCGGGGTTGAGAAGGAAGGGATATAAGTGTTGTAAATAAATAAATACTTAATACAACCACTTGCCTCAGTCTCCAATTTCATTCCAATCCCCTTATCTGTGAAATTTATTCCAAAAGATACAGAACTGCTCTGGTGAGGAAACAGCATTGAATGGAACAGTACTGCAATATCACCGATGAAACCTACATCATGATGGCTTCTATAAAACGGTTGGCATTTAAAATAATCTTAGTGCATTCAATGTGAATCAACTTAAGTGACATCTGATTCAAGTTCGGTTTCTTTAAGTTGCTTGAGGTATGTTGTACATACCTGACTGGCATTAAAGGTATGCAGAAGATAAAGACCTTTTTCATATGCATCTGTAAAAAGAAAATAACAAGATAACAATGTTGTGAATATGGTCTCCCCATTGTTATTGTGAACCTTTGGTGTGAAAATAGCTAATTAATTTTCTGTACTGTATATTGTTGTGTATACTAGACAAAACTAGAGAAAAAAATCCAGTTAAAATCTGGTTTCTGCCTGCTGCAGAATTCTGGGGTTTGTAGTTTAGTGAGGCTGTTAAAGTCTCCTCCCTAAACTACAAATCCCAGAATTCTGCAGAAGGCAGAAACTGGATTTTAAGTTATTTTTCTCTCTAGTGTGATGAAGTGGTAAATCACATGGGGTAGAGTGTGGTATATTGATCTATGTTGGAAACCTCAGAAGTATCTCCAATTTTCATTCTGGTTTTGCCCACTTATGTCTGAGATTGCAGAAATGACATAGCCCAACTGATTATTTTTTAGGAAATGCAGCCCTCAGGTTTGGGGAAGGGGACTTTATTTGTATCACAATAGTATTTTAAGTCTTTATTTATATTACTTATACAAAACCCCAATAGAATTTTTCAGTGTAACATTTATTACGCTTACCAATTGTTGTTCCATCATCCCAGTACAGAAGTCCCTGTGCAGTCCCATTATCATCCAAAGCTACTGTAAGACCCATCATATTTTTTCGGCTAAAAAGAAAATGGAAATATTTAAGAGTCAATGTTCTGTCATAAATGAGACAAGAAATGCATGTATTTAAATCTACTGAAACCTAGTCGTCAATGTAAGGAGGCCTCTTTAAGTTAAAACAGCCCCTGTTGGGAATATTTGGGGGGGGGGGAGTATGCTATTTAAGGTGTGTTTACCCCTGTTGCTACCGGTGCATAGCTGAAACATTCTCAGCCTATAACAATGTACTTATGGGTTGCTTCAGGACCAGGTAGAAAAGATAAACCTGTTCCCACCTCATAGAAGGTTTTTTTTTTTTGCTCACCCTACACTGTTCTGAGGTTCTGGGAAATTGGCTCAGGGTGCAGCTTTAAATGGGTTGTCCTTTGGGTAGCAGGAATGGAAATTACATCTCGGTGTGCATCTAAAGCACCCTGTTGTGGTGAAGTCCAAGAACCCCCCCCCCCGCCCCCCAGCTGTGTGTTTGGGCTACCAAGGTGGGAGGAGAATGGAAATGGCCTTGAAGCTGCCAGGGAATTCTGATTTTGCTGAAGCCTCGTGGCTTGAGGGTGGAATGCTCAAGGCAGCTTTCCTGAGCAGTTACTCTGGGAACACTTAGGTGGAATTGTGCTCAGGGAACACAGGCATCTCACCCAAGTTAACTGAGGAGTATGTCTGGGAGAGCCTACTGCCTCAGTTTATCCAGCATGAAATATATCCCCACTTTGAGCTATTTTAGTACATGAAGAAAATTTGAATAGGTAACAATTAATAAAGTTGCCCTAGTTCATATAGTTGTCTGGTCTCATTATTTAATTGATAGGTGAGCAGTTGATTAAAAATGTCTCTCTTGGAATCTCTAGATGTAACTCTATGGTCAACTTCCACTAGATATAAAAAACTAGCAATTTATTTAATTAGTATAGGGTTTTTTTTTTCATTTTCATGCAGCCACTATGTTCCTAACACCAGCAGATGTGATTGGTTCACTCTACATGTAATAAGATTTATTTTCAATTGTTGTGATCAAGAAATATTAGGTGTGTGCAAAATGGGACAGAATTGTGATCTGTTTTCATTCTGTTTTTGGGTGCCCCACTCTCCAGTTCTGGTTTCTTCCTGAAATGGAAACTGAACTCAGGGTTCTGAATTACAAATCTGAATGCCCCCCCCCCCCCATTATCCCAGAATGTTCTCAAAAACAGAACCGAGGGCAGCTGAAATTCAAAATGAAAACAAAATGAAACAGAATGGTTTTGCACACCCCAATAAATATCTATCTCCTCTTCATTCTAATTTACCCCCCCCCCCCCATCACTCTAACCATTATGTATATATTCCAAACAGATCTGACTGTACCTGGCCTGGGTATTCAAAGCAGGGAGTTGCCATGGAATAATGTTGCCTCCTCTGAGATGAAGGTTGATGTGCTCAAGGGGAGTTTGTAAGTTAAGGAATCCTTTTCTTATTCCTTCAACTTCATCCTAATGATAAAAAAACAAGTGTGCAGTTTTGTTTTTAAACATGAAAGTGTGTGTCCTTCATAGTTAGGTACAAGCAAAACTAAATATTAAAAGCTCCCATCCTGTGGTGATTACAGCAAACTACAATAGATACAATTAAGGCAAAAATAATTGGATTCTCTTCTCAGCTGCTCACTTTGGTGTCTTTTTCCTTGCCACAGACAGATTGTTGCTGGCCTCATGTGAAAGTCGGGTGCATTTGATTCCCATAAGAATTAATAGGACTTTCAAATTTAGTAACTTGGAGAATGGTTTAAATGAGCAAATCATAAAAAGGGACCATTTTGTTCCTCAACTGCTACTGCTTAGTTTTTAAGTAGGTCAATGTTTTCTAGACCAGATTTTCTAAGATATGATAAATATATACTGATAAAAGTATATTCAAGTAGAGTACTAAATAGAACTAATGTTAGCTATGACTATGTGTTTCATTTGTATCAATCTGCTTTAGATTTTACAGAAACAACAGTCACAGGTTACATTTAAAAGTGTATAATCTATGCACATCCATGAAATAGTTTTTCACGTAAAAAAATATATCAGAATATGTGCGCTACACACGTTTGTAACTGTACATGGATACAGTTACTCACATGCAGCACTTTCTTTATTTAGCTTGTAGTTCCAGCATCCAAACTTCTTGTTCAATAAATGGTAGGAAAAAAATCTGAGTGTTTTTCAGCATTTTTTAAAAAAAATCCCCCAAATTGCAACAATTGTGAGCCAAACTCAGAAATATCAAGAAACTTGCAGAGGGGAAAAAAAGATCCACAAAGTCTCTCAGCCCATCTAAGCTATGTTTGAGCCTCAAATTATATTCAGTACTAGGGAAAAAAACATGATAACATTAAAAGCCAGTTTTGATATGTTCTGGCATGTTGTTGATTTTGTGTATCTATGTGAGTGTGCAGATAATTCAGAAAGTCCCATAACCTTTTAGCCAATGGTGAATTAATCTGAGCAGAGTTTGCCAGTCACTAATTTTAACCCAGTCTGGGTCTTTTCTACACAGAAGAGTGAAAAAAAAAATGCAACATGTTAAATAATTGTATGATTCTTTTGTTCACTGATAAACTTCACTTAGGCATTTGCTGCAGTTGTATGCCATGTTATGGCTCTTTTGCCCATGTTTTTCTACTCTTGTCAATTACACCATAATAATAGTGTGTGCACATTTGGGTTTCTGTGTGTACTCTGAAAATTGTAACAAGACTTTTTATGTTGACCTTGTGGGATTCATCATTATTAAATATTTACAGTGGTGAAAAATCAGGTAATACAGCTGTAGTCAGAGGTGACTTTGCCATATCAGAAAATACTTCTTATACAAGTCAAAAACCTGAGGCCACTTAAGCTGAGGCCACCATTCTTTATGAGGATGGTAAAGCACAATTACAGAACGATAGAAGTGCCCTTGGATGGAGTTCACCACAAGACATTATGTTTCTCCCATAATCACACTGCATTTGAATAATTATTGTATAACCTCCTTTGAGCTGCTTTATGTCTTAATAAAGAGATAAAGTTGAGAAATAGTAGTAGGAGTAGCAGTAGCAGTAGCAGTAGCAGTAGTAGTAATAGTAGTAGTAAGTAGTAAGGGGCTTTCTGAAGTACCAGTACACTCTCTCACACACATAATCAGCAATATGGCAGAAAATAACAAAATTAGCTTGTGATGTTACCAATTTTTTATTCAAGTACTGAACGTCATTTGAGTCTCAAATTTGGAGTGGTTCAGTGACTTCATAGATCATTGATGGGGAAACACCTGTCAATGAATCCATTATTGTTGTTCTTGCATCACTTTTCCATATGTGACCTACAGCGATTCCAGTGTTGTGAAGCAAAAAAAGGTATTGTGGGAATGCTGCAATTGAGTTGTCACAAAAGAGGGAAGAAAAAATAGAGAAAACCACAGGGCATATGCACTGGGTAGGACATAAACTTATAGGAAGTGAGGCTATACGAAAGACTAATCACAGGAAATCACATCAATGAAGTACCAGTATTGTGCAACTGTGGTGAGGTGTGAAAGTGTTTGTTCTAACAATGGTATATTTCCCTTTGCTTAAAGAACATGATTGCAATGACACAATAGGGTAGTGTGATAAAGTCCTAAGAGACTCTGGAACATAACGAATATAGCACAGAAGGCTGCAATAGGTGGAAGGATCATTCTGAAATTAATACAACAACTTGGGCAAGCAGAATTCTTTCAACAGTGTATAAATTATCATGAGATACAATGACATGTAAAGTTCCTTCACATTCACCAATATATTTGAATTACATTTATGTAATTCATGTTTTGCAGGGCATTTTTACAAAGAAAGCCAATATCCATAGTGAAAAATAAATAGAAAAAAATCACTTACAGTGTAATAATTATACCAGCGGGCATCAGGAAAATAAGCATTCACTTCTGTAACATTCTGAAAATATTAATACACATGTTGATGTTACATAAATAGGGTTCTAAGGTTTGTTTGATATTTTTTAAAAATGTGTTTGTATTTATTCATTTTATATATTGGTACTTACTGGATGCAGTGCAGGGCTAATAAGCAATGCAGGTCCCCAGAGAAACTGTTCATATATCTCCCATGTGACCTTATCATCTACAAATCTGAAAATAAACATAGCAAATTATTATCTAGTGTGAAAATGTCACCGGAAAAGTATTGCCATGGATTACTGTACCTTGCAAAATTACAAAGGAACTGAGCTAAAGCCAGAAAACTGATTTTTGTTCTTGTGTCCTTAATCTACCTTTATCTTTTGCATCACTGAATTTGCTTAATGAATAGGCTTAAGTGTATGACATGGAAACCCGCCCCTCATCCTCTTCTTCACATTGCATGAGCTAGGAGAAGTCAACTTTTTGTAATTTTTATTCTGTTGCAGAATGCTATTATTACATCCAAATTATATGGGAAAGGGCCAAAATCTATACATGGATGCCTTATTATTGGAAACAAACTAGGTTCAAAAAGTGAGTGCCTTTTTTTACCTTCACACAAACACACACACACACAAACACACACGTGTGTGTGTGTATCACATTTAGATAAATAAACTCTCAAAATGCCTTCCTTAAAAATACATTGAACAGAGCCACTGTTGAGTTTTCAATAGCTTCCCTCACACTTGAAAAGTCTCTAAAGAAAGATTATCTCTCTTAGATATGCAACTGAATATGATGAAATGACTTGAGAATGTCTCGGAGGTTGAGGATAATACTATCAGAATACCACAGAAGGAGCCTAAATTCCCAGTAGGGTCAAGCAAGGTAGAGTGCTCATACTGGACCTACCAGACTAAGATGAATCCATTCTCTTCGGTTAGAAATGATTACTATATCAGCAAAAGTGCACAGATAGTTCTAGTGATGAGAACGACAAAGAAACTCTGGAAAATATGCTATTGTAGGAAATAACACTGGTTAAGATTCTCATAGATAATGCCGATGGCACATTATCTAGCTCTTCTGAGTACTACATGGAAGAAAATAGTGTACACTCATTCTGACTCCCCATTATTTTGGAAACTCTATGATGACATGATATAAAATGAAACAAAAGGAAGTACTGAAAGATGACAGGCTAGAAGTAACTCAATCCGCTACTAGAAAGAGATAAGGACAAAGATGAATATTTCTGTATTTAATTGTTTAATTAAACAACATTTACTCTAGTGTACTCCAATATATTAAAAAAAAGTCCAGAGATGCACAGCACAATAAATATGACTTGGAAGCAAGTTTTTGGCAGAGAGATGCCTCCTGCCACAGTCTGTACAACAAGAGGAGGAGGGGTCCAGGAGAATGAGCTCCTGGACCCCTGACTACATTGGAAGAAGACATGCCGCATTTTAAAAGTACAGTCTTTTAAACAATGCCAGCACTTTTTTACTTTTCACAAGAAATGCCAATAGGAGCAAGGAGAACTAGCTTTTCTTCTTTTCATTATCTATTTTTGGACTACAGTTTGCCTGAATTCTTCAGCTCCTTAAATCTGCCCTTTTTTTCTTTGGTGTGTGTCTTTGTGTGCATCAGCAAAGCATTTCATTATTTCTATTTTGAATTTCTTTCTTTCACTCATCTTTTCCTTCTTTTAGAAATTCCCCATATTGCTTAATTCAAAACCTTCTCAGTCTTGCTGATTTCTTGATTTTAAGTTAATATTTCACCATCCTAAAGACCTGTCTTCTATTACTTATTTCTATTTTGAATGTACTATTTACTACTTATGAAGCATACCACAGTATTAGCTATTCCCCAATGCAATTGTCAGTCTATGATACGTTTTATAACACCACCTATTTAATGTATAAGGAAAATCACAAGCAAAGTAAGGTTAGACTATGTTTCTTGGCAGGGGGTTGGACTGGATAGCCCATGAGGTCTCTTCCAACTCTATGATTCTAGGTGTAAAACTAGATATACTTATGAAACCATATTATGACATTTTACCAAAAAAAGCTGATTTCAAATAACTGCTGAGAAAAGTTAAAGAAACTGAAGATTAGAAGGAATTGACAGTGACAAAAGTTTAGCAGTGGAATCAATTCCACTGCACAGGTCTCCTCAAAAAGGGACTGGAAGCTTCACATTGGGAATTCTTTAAATGAAAACCCTGAATTGAGGAGAGGACTCAACCTGATTGCATATAGGGCTTATTCTGTGATTCTGTGTAATTGTATAATTCTATGTCAAAGAAAATGCAAAAGCAGAATTACATCTGAATACTAAAAAGACAAGATTAGCAACCATAGAAAATTTTCATAACTTTTTAGTTGGTAAGGTATATATCAATGCTATTATTATTCTTTGGCTCAGACATCAATCAAAATACAAACTCTAGGTAGGAAACCAGAACACTTAGACTTTGAGATGTAGCTATGAAGTACCTAGACTACAGCCTCAAGTGTAAAGATATCATGAGATATTAGAATTATCCATAACATATAATTTTACATTTCTATGTATGAATTTGAAAGATGGGCAGTTATGAAAGCTGGGAAGAACATCAAGTCACCTGGAGGATAATTCTATAGATCACGTGAACTGCTTCTTGTAAAAATGTTTCTTGCAGAAATGATGATAATGCAGAATGAAAGAGGAATGTTACCGATTAAATAACTTTCAAATATATTCCATGGGACCAAGCAAAACCTGAGCAGGGGTTTTAATAACAAGATTTATTAGTGGTTTTTCATTCACTAAGTTATATTGTGAATGAGAAGACGTATTCACTAAGTAAATGTCAATGTAACAATACATAACAATGAGAGCTCCTAAGACCAGCACCTAAATCAATATATGCTAAGTCCATTCTCTATTTGTTTATGACCAACTGAAAGGACAGAAGTTGAGGGGAAAACATAATTGCATTGCTATTCATAAGGTTTGCACCATTAGGTCCAACTGCTTCATGTAAGTATGTTATCAAATATGTATATGTGAATGCATTTGTAATCTTCTTTGTGACTTCAAAAACTAAAATCATGCACAATGTTTTTGAGATGATAAAATGTTACCTAGTAAATTTTCCTGTCAAATGAAGTAGCTGAAATATTTAATACTTACTCATGCAGTAAGGGCCGCACAACTGTGTTACCATGGGCATGCGCTTCATACATCAGTGTATAAAGATAGGGAAGTAAAGTATATCTGGTGTTGAGCACATTTCTGGATATTTCTTGAAATTTCTCATCAAAGGCTACAGGATCTTGCCTCTTTAAAAGAAAAAGGAAAAGTCAATATAATTGTTGGGCCTTCAAAATTGTGTTAGTCACAAGTTATAGCAGTCATACAAAAAGTATTTTGATAGAGCCTAGTTAAATATTTCCCCTCATTTCATGGAGCCATCTTTTCTTTGTGAATGACAATTGGGAGTACCAGTAAGGTCACACATCCCCCATGCCATGCCAGTCACTGGCTCTAGGAACAATGTTGCACTACGGTACCATGCCATTTTCGGTAGACCATTCTCTTCCAGATTAGAAACACCACCAATAATCCATTCCATTTATAATAACAGAAAAATGATGTGGAATCCTCTGAGATATAGAGAAATCCTTTAGCATCTTTTCTTTCATGCTAAGTCAAATTCTTCACTCTAGGGATATAATGTTTTTACTGAAGTTCTTCGTAAATTGAGGAATGGGTCATTGCAGCAATTATCCTCCTGCTCCAAAAAAAAGCCTTCACAATTTGGGATGTATACTGCATCCAATTCACCTGTGTGTGTTTTTCCCATAGAAAACACTTTCTTCTATCCATGAAATGCCTTCACTGAGTAGAAAATGCAGTTTCTAAGAGTAGAAAATGCAGTTTCTAAGAAATGGTAGGCTCGACATTGGCTGATGACTATCCCGAGTCCCTCTTGGGGAGATGGTGGCGGGGTATAAACTTGGAATTATGCCTTGTGTGGCACTGGCTACCTCCTTCACTCACTCAACTAGTAAGGGGAAGGCTCTAGAACACATATGGTGGCTTTCAGCTTTTCATGGGACCTCCCCATACAATCTGTCTACACAAATTGTTCAGACATGGATCAGGTATGGGAATGGGAAAGGAAATACAGAAATAATGTTGTATGGAACGTGACTTTATAGATCCATCTAACGTCTCTAAAGCAAGGACATAATGAGAAAATGAGGTTCTGAGGTGGGATTTGAAAGAAGAGAAAGAGTTAATACTACATGAATGTTGAGACAGTATTTCTGTAAGAAGAGGAAGTTAGGAAGAAGGTCTTAGCCAACAGAGAGAATACCATTAAGAACATTAAATATGAGGATTTTTGAATCAAAGGGAGATAATTTAAGAAAAAGTAACATGCAAAATGGATTGTGAATGGCTTTGGCAGAAACAATATGGTGAGAAATGAAAGAAGTTGAGATGTGTCAAGGAAAAGTTCAAAAAATAAGGCTATGGTAATCAAGATGTTTACACAAAGAAAAGAAAATAAGTAATTAAAACATGAGGTTAAAAATACCACATATCCTATGCCATTATGGTTTCTGGCATATGGGTAAAAGGCACCCAGTTGTGTCCATCGGGCACACATTTGGTAGTCTGTATGATAGTTGAAGCCACAGATATCTGCACCAGTCTGAAAAAAAGAAAGAGAGAAATAGCCTGGTATTAGTGTTCCCTATCATTTCAGTCATCAAACAACAAAAATTATTGGGGGTGGGGTGACTCAGACTCACATATGACATTCCAAAGAGGCTAAATTCCATCATGCCTGTAAGAAAATTAATACCAATTTATCAAATGTTTCCTCCATCAGTGTAACAATGACTTTTTGAATATTTGGGTTGTGTTACCCAAGGAGTATTCTACATACAGATTGTTAAACTGCATTGCTGACAACAGAAAGGCCAAATGTGGTAAATGGGAAGTTCTGTTTTGGATATAGAAAATTGCAAAATCCAATCTCCATTAAATCAAAGATTTCAGAGTATAGGGCTAAGGAAAATGGTTCAAAAAATATTTCTTGGTCTCAGAATAGGAAACAGGTCATTTTGACACCAAATGGTTATGTTGTTGGTATTGTTATTGTTATTGTTATTACCCGACTTTATCTCCCCTGAAGGGGACTCAAAGTGGCCTAACATAAAACAATGTAAAGCATAACAATTTAAAATATACAAATATGCAAACATTAAAACAGAATTAAATATAAACAGTATTTTTAAAAATCCAATTAAAAACCATTCAAACATATTTAATGCAATACATTGCAGAGTAGGAATGGAAAGCATGTGCCGCTTTCCCTTTTTCCCACACTCTAATTTTTGTCTCACTTTCCACCAAAATGTGAAGGAATTTACAAAAGTTTGAAAATTTCTTTTAAAAACTAAATGCAAATACTAATATCAGTTATATTTACTAATAACATCAATTTTTGGGCTGATTCTTGAAGGACTGAGCATAATAAATACATTATATCACTCAACCATACACCACTCCTTAGACAAAAATAATTCTTTAATTTCCACTCATCCTGTTATTTTCATATGTTACTTTATGTACCTAATAGGAATAATTTATTAAAAGTACATTCTACTATGGTTGGTACTCACTATTGTAGCTATATTATGATGACAGTTCTAGGAAAGTTTTTTATTTAATGATTTTGAAATGGTTTACTAAATCCCATGAGCAACATTAAAATCTTAATTAAATGTCAAAGAAAACCTGCTACTTGAAGCACAAATAACAGGGGTCACATTATAAAAAGTTTATAAAGTTATTAAACATAAAACATACAAATCACATCCATCCATGTTCACATACCTATTATGGATTTGTAAAGCTGATCCCACAGGGAGAAGTTATCACCAAGCCAATGTCCTGCCCACTTGCCACTTGAAGGAAATGTTGAACGAGTAATGATGATGCCACGTTGTCCAGTGACACTATGAAGGGCACTAAAAGTGGAAAGAAAACGCAGTCAGGAAAAAAATGTAGATGCATAAAGACATAGAGTGAATTGATATTTCAATTAAAAGTTTTCTATTGAGATTTCTGGTTTCAAGTATTGCATGCCACAGTGTAGCATACCAATATGTGGAAGCTAATTGTGACAAAGTATAGTTATACAAACATCCATCGGCATTTGGGGTTAGGGGGTAAATTGAAGCTAAAGATTACACATCTGACTGATTTCCTCTCTGATCTCCCATGTCCAGATTATGGTAATAAATTGCTTAGATTAAATTAACTATAACTGCTCAAGAACAGAGTGGAAAGGTTGGACTGGTGAAACAAATGGTCCAGTATAATGACCTCATGGGGTAGAACCACTACTGCCCAAGTCAGCAGTACACAAACAGGAACACACATTTTAAAGCCAGTAGCAGAACTTTGTCATTATCTACTATTTTTAGAGCCTGGCTGCCTGGCCATCTGTCTAGAAAGATTTGGTTGTGTACTTGTGGCGCCCAACAACAAGATTCTATTTCTGGGCTTTATTCGGCTTTCTATATTAGTGCAAAAGTGCTAATTTATGTACAGACCAAAAAAAAAAAAAACAAACTGGGTCCTCCACATGTTTCAGCAAGTTTCTGGCACAGATACAAAGTTTTCAGAGTAGGGCTACTTTTATCCAAGTCAGCACTACACAATGAAACAGGAACACACACTTTCAAGCTAGGAACAGAACTTTGTTATTATTGTCACCTTTTACAGGCTGCCTGGCCATCTGTCCAGACAAATTTGGTTGTGTACTTGTAGCATCAAAAAACATGGAGCTGTTCCTGGGTTACACATGGCTTTTCCTATTAGCCACATGCATGACCTTGATTCTCATTATTTACATTCCTCTCCAGCACATTCATGTCCCAACAGCCAGTAGTAAGTTTTTGTCATAAACTGTACACATGTTATCAGCATACAGCCAATGAGGAACCAACATGTATAACCCAGCAAAATCATCCTGTTGTTCCCTGGCACAAGTACACCATGAGATCTGTCTTCACAGATGGCCACACAACAAGGTCTGAGTAATTATAATTTTTATATTACATGTAATACTACTAATAATATTAAAGTATAATGGCATAGTACAATATAGTAATATACAATACTAATATTGTACTATGGCAATAATATAATATATTATATTTACATATTACTTGTAAGCGTCTCCGAGTCCCCTTCAGGGTGAGAAGGGCAGCATATAAATGCCATACATAAATAAATAAATTATAATAACGATGGCATTCTGTTCCTAGTTTGAAAGTATGTGTTCCTGTTTCATTGTGTACTAGTTACTGTGAAAGCACTTGTTGCACCCCAGGAACTTAATTTTTATGTCACAGATTTCATTAAATAGGTGAAATATGAAGTTCCTTTTCCCAGGACTAAGATTTTGCCTTCTACTCAAGTGTCACCTTCTTTTTAGGAACTGACCAATCAGGAACAAGCATCAAAAACCCAGGAACAAACCCAGTAAAAATTCCTGTGATTTCTGATTGCAGGGACATACAGACATGCAAATATCTGGATATTCAGCTCAAAACCACAATATTTCCGCCCCTGGAAATCTCGCGTTTTTTGCCTTTTGTAGAGATTACTTCTGGGTTTACAGAGAATGGTGTCTGGTCACCCTCCTCATTGCTGTGGAAGCTACTGGGATAACAGAACTGTCTGGATGGGACCTAAGAAAGCGTAAGTTGCCCAAGGTCACCTAATGGATGTCTATGGCTGAACAGCAATTTAAACCATGGTCTCCTGAGTCATAGAGAAACACTAAATCATACTGGTTATATATAAAAAGTGTATGTCTCGAAACATATACAGGACTCGATATATGCTAACTTTGCTGAAGCTTTTTCCAAATGAAATCGATGGCAAACCAGTTTACCAATTTGTTTCATTGATTTCAGTATGGCTAAATGTAATGATTTTATTTTATCCAAAGTAATGTATTAATGATTTGTGTACACACACACACACACAAGCTGTACCTGCCATGCATTGTGACCAACCTCTCCTTCCTCTTTCTCTTCTTTCTTTCTTTCTCTCCTTCCTTGTTTCTCTCCTTCTTCCCTTCTACCCCACCCCACCTTTTCTTTCCCTTCCTCTTTCTCCCCTTCCTTCCTTCTTTACCTATTCTTGGACTGCAACTCCCAGCAATCCTCCTTATCCATCCATCCATCTAACTACCTATCTGCCTATCTATCTCTATTCAATCTATCTATCTGGAGGATTGCTGGGAGTTGCAGTCCAGGAATAGAAAATTGGAAATATGCAAGGATTGGGATGCTCTCAAAAAATCCAAGGAGAAGAAAGCTTGCAGCTTGGAAGCAGTGCATTTGGATCATCCTCCTCTCCTGAAAGGCCTGGTCTAGGGGATACTGGGATCTGTAGTCTGGAAGAGAGTGTGGATATGCTATTGTGTGTTTTGTTTGCCAGGGGAAGTAATTTTTGTGCATGTGCTGTAGCGTCCTTCTTCTTTTTTTGGCTTGTTGAGTCCCTTATGCTGTGTTTTTCAGTGTTTTTATGAGTGATAGTCACTTGTTGACCTAATAGGTGTATTGTGTCCAAATCTGGTGTCAATTCATCCAGTGGTTTTTGAGTTATGTTAATTCCACAAACAAACATTACATTTCTATTTATATAGATATATCCACTTGTAATATACCGATGAACAACATTTCAGATTAAGGAATGGAAAACATATTTCAATTTCTAGTCCATATAACTTTCCACACATTCAACTCCATTTTCATATTATTTTAAGCCTAGGTGGTGATAGTTATTATTATTTAATAACATTAATCTATAGTTGGGTATATTTAAAATTAACGGATACATTTGTTTATTTGCATTATTAATACATACATAAATCACTATTTTCTTTCAAAATTCAGAAGTCACATTGACTGGTGAAGCTTCCAAATAACCTGGACTGTTAGGGAGCACAATGAAGACTGGCTAAACAAACTTAGCAATTGTATACCCCCTAGCTCCCAAAGTTTAGAGCTTTCCTACACTCTGAATTAAAAAAAATATTGAATAGAATAAAAAATAGAAAAAAAATCTAATTCTTGCTGTGAGGGTAGACATAACAAGATTGAAAACAAATACTAATATTCTCTATGTATCATTTTGTCCTTGAAATCTATCTTGTGTACTCATATATAAATCTAGAAACTTTAGTCAAAAAATCAACCCCAAAATCCTATGTACCTTAACTCTTATAAAAAAGTAACAATCTGCTTTTCTGAATAAACTGTTGAAAGGCAAGATCTTATTTCATGCTAGAAGAACCTAAAATATACACTGACAGCCTCTACTCTCTCCAGCATGGTGCCACAACTGGCCTTTTTTGAATGACCTTCCACAAAATAATCCCAATTTATTCATGGATCATATCAAAATCCATAATTTTTGTTCCAAAACCTGCCCTTAACTTATACATGAGGTTGATTTATACATTAGTATACACAGTAAGTATCAGTTTTGATGAGCTCTCTGTACATGTAAAAAGTCAATTGGCATTTTGCAGGCAAATCAGTTAAAATGTTGAGTAGAGATTTTCTGGAAAATGAAAGTTGGTTTCAGCTTAGTTCTACATTATAGCAAGTGCCTGGCAGAAAGTCCTTTAATAGTTTACTATTTTCCAAACAGAGCTCCAGAATGCTTTCAAAGTAAGTTTGAACTTAGCAAAACCTATCAACAGAAGCACAATTTGAGGAGAAGAGGAATATTTCATTCTTTTCTGTTTTATCCTTCATTTTCAGCATCCAAGGTATCATTATACAGAGTGCTGAATTACTACCTTCTGACAGTGTTCAAATCATAGTGGATCTGCCTGACAGAGAAAGAATTTTAAAATCTTTCTTGTCTTGTCAGCATTTCAGTTAGCCTCTTGACAGACAGCTAAACACTGGAACACTGCCAGGTTTGAAAAACCCAAAACGTGACCTTTCCCCTCCCTCTCCTCATAGTAACATCAAACTTACCAAGGGCTTTAAGGTCATTACAGTCATAGGAGACTTTTTTTAAAATGAATGCTTGCTCATTCAATTGGAAAGAAAACAACCTAGATATATTGTCATTAGATCAGGCATTATATAAATTGAATGTAAATCAATAAGGAATAAGCATGCAATTTAACTGCCTTGGTACAGAAGAAATTCATCAACAAAGAAGTCTTGGCTATTTTCTGCACATAATAGGTATCCTCTTGTTCCTACTTAACATTTATTTTTTGAAGTGAATGGTTAAGGTTATTAATATAGGAATGAGTATACAGGATATTTAATTTAAAACAACCCATCTGCATATCCTCACACAGAATCCTGCCCAAACAGTACAAGCTTTTTAATTAAAGTAGTCCATCACATACTACACTTGGAACAAGGAGGGTTTTTTTTAAAAAAAACATGGCTACATTCTTAATGGATTGTCAAAATAGTGAATACTATTTTATGGCATCAATGACTGGCAAAACAGTCTCCATTACAGGCCAAGTGGAATTTTCTCCATCTGCATCACACAGCATTGTCTGGAGTATGACCTGGCAGGCATCTCGTAAGAGGAATCCTTCTCACAGACTCAGCAGGAAGATAATTTTTGCAGGCATGTAATCAACACTGATATTTAACAGCATTAAAACGATGTGGTTTCACAATGTAGGTCAGCAATTAAGCTCACCCAACATTATTTTTTATGAACATAGCCATTATAATGGTGTACAAATAATTGCTCTCAATTACGTCTCATAATGTTTTGTCTAATATACTTGCTTAAAACAAGACAGCAACACTTAGTGCTTGAAAAGCTAATAAAGCTGAAAATTTAAGTTTCCACACAGAATCATAAAGATGGAAGAAGCCTCATCAGACATTGGGTCCAACCCCTTACTGTCAAGACATTTCATCTAATGTCCAATTAGAATCTCTCAACCATTAGACCTGATCCTACCTTCTAAGGCAGAGAAGAGGGGCCATTTATTGAAAGAATGCAATCTTATTCCCTTTCATTTCACTCTTTACCAAGCTGAACATAATCCTATATCTCATTTTCTGGACCTCTTCCTATCCTTGTGGCCCCTCTTTGAACCCTTCTCCAACATGTCCATATCCTTTTTTAAAATAAAGTGTCTAGTCCTCCATATGAGGCCTGAGAAGTGCAGAATACAGTGGGACTATTACTCCCCTCAATTTCGAACCTATGCTTCTATTAAAGTGGTCTAAAATAGCATCCACTTTCTTTACTGCAGCACCACACTGTTGACTTATGTTAAATTTATGATTAACAAGAATCCCATGATCCTTTTTGTGTACTTCTGAGTTATACATCCCCATTTAATAACTGCGCATTTTTGTGACCTAAAAGTAAAATTTATATTTGTCTTTATTGAAGTTTATGACAAACCATTTCTAAATATTGCACTATGCCATTACTGTTAGGTATTTACAACAAAGAAAGTGGCTTCCTGGAGGTGATTTTCCCTATTATTAAAGTCTGAGTGTGATGACAAAGATCTAATGACATGAGAGTTGCAATGGAAAGAGTTGCAACAGAAACTAATGCCCTTGCTACAATACTAGATGTGAGAAATTAACTAATTTATTTTCAATTATTTATTCATATCTTTCATATAATTCTTCCATGTATTTTTTTATTTTGTTTGGTCATATCATACTTTCCAGTATTAGACACCTCATTGGACATGACTCATTTGAAAAGACAATAATACCTAGTAAACTGGAAAACAGTAGGGATAGAGAAAAATTGCATAAGGCAACATTATAGCAAATATCACAAATTTCTAAAATAGATGGTAGACACGGCTTCAGAGGAAAATGATTACTTACTCATATGTAGGCTTAGTTTGAGACCAGCCATATAAATTGTGAACATCATAATGTCGAAGTTGAGTTCCATCAGGCAGAAGCTGTTCACTCTGCATGCACAGAGTTTTGCTACACAATCCTACTTCCTTTCCCACAATACCTGACAAAGATATAATTCAAAAGCTGTCAAGAAAAAGCTAGAAGGGAAATGGCACATTTAACAGGTGCTTGTGAAATTTCCTGGCTCTTGTACCAAAAATAACTTTTTAAAATAATCATTTATGAATAGCACAGATTCATTACTTTTCTGCATATGAGAGGCTTCAGGGTGATACACATCAACAACAAAACAGATAAAACATTTTTAAAAGGCAACTTCCTAAATCCATCATTCCTTAGATACTGATTAAATCAAAGTACTCTGTATTGAATTATTGTTTTTGTTATTGTTTTGTTTTTCTTATTCAGGGAACCAAATATCTTTGGCTGATCAGCTTTCTGCTCCAATATTGTAAGGATGCTCTAAAGTTGACAAATATGGATATCTTTTCTTGTTGGTGTTTGTTGACCATGTATCAATGTTCAGTGATCACACCATTTTCAAGTCTGTTTTCATCAGATCCTTCATTTTGTTTACCAGAAAGTTACTCAAAAGGAGAGGAGTAACAAATGACATTTCATTTGGCAGAGATTTGGCCTATTGGCGACAATGGGAAACTTTAAAGGCTCAATCTTCAGCCATTGTAAGATCTATTTGCATGAAACCTACCTCTGTTGTAGACTCCCATTACAACTGTGGCCCCACCAAGTTTCAAAACAATTCACCAACCTACTGATTTTTTAGAATTATTTTAAACATTTTTTAAAATAAAACATTTCACAAGAGGAGATTCTGGGAATTGCCATCGCTGATGTATCCATTCTCGGACAATCAGAGCATGGACACCACCAGGCTATTTATAGGCTAAGAGACACACAGAAAGAAAAACTTCAATTTCCACCGTGCTCCAACAGGAACTTTTCAATGGACACACTATGCTAGTGCCACTGAGTTCGCAGAGCCCTTTCCAAGAAAAAATGGAGGAGTCTTCTTCTGCCAGGGAGGGAAAAGGCACTGCAGATATTTTGTTAATTTAACTCTTTCCAAAGAAACATCAATTATACTGGTCTTTTTGTCTCTCTCTTCCCCTTTCTGTTTTTGGAAAATAAATGAAAACTACAATTTTTGTCATTAACAGTGATTTGGCCCCAATAATCTCTGTTTCTTGGCAATAATCTCTGTTTCAGGCTTTTAAAAATAATGTACCAATTGTATCTTTGTATAATATTGTATCACCTATATTTTCTTTGTATTTGGTACTTCAGTGTGGAACAGATAGACAAGAAGCCCTTTTAAAAGTGAGAGTATTAAATTACATGCATCCCTAAAGTTGTTTTCATCTAAATTAAACCCTTTGACATTTCTCAGATAGGGTGTTATATAAATAAAGTATTATTATTATTATTATTATTATTATTATTATTATTATTATTATTATTATTAAGCAACATGGCAGTGTGATCAATATGACAAACATTGTAAATGTAATAATAATTGAAATTTTGAGGATGCCACTTTTTGCTGCTATCTGAGTTTACAGAAAAAGGGAAATTTCTACCCCTTGTTTTCTTCTCCCCGGTGAGTAAACTGAGTGCAGGCTCCTTTTGCACATTGAACTCATTTTGTAGTGATTCACAAAAGTCGACATGGGGCAGAGTGAAAGAAACTGGAACATTTTAAAAACAACCAAGAAAGTGGGTTAAGAGAGGATTAATCAGTACTGTTTCTGTCAAATCAGAATACTGGGAGGTTATGATAAAATAAGTTCCTATTGTGTTTAGACACTGCTTCCAGCAATGCAACTTGTCTGATTCAAGATGTGCATTAAGACTGGAGAGAAAAATTCATTGCCCCATTTTCAGATAATATCTGGGAAACATTTTTGGAATTGATGGTTCAGAAGTGGCTCGTCTATTGTAGCAGCCACAGTAGTATCTTGCTGATTTTTTCATTATCTTATTTAATGCTATCAGAAGGAGCAGCATTCATGCAGTTCATTGTAGTCCAGAGAAGATATGACCTTTCAAATGTGTCCACTACTGGAAAAGTATTATTTGAGTATTTTTGAATCAAATCAGAATTATTGATGTGTGAAAAGGCAAACTCAACATAGATGTTTTAAGGAAACAACATTATTAAAACAATGTACCTGGCATGTATGGAGGAAAATTGAGCTCAGAATCCCCACAGCCATGAACTGCACCATTGACAAAATTGGCTGGTTCATTCATATCCTTGTAATTTGAAGGGGGAAAAAAACACATAATACATTATAATATCTTTTTTTCTTTTTATTAACTTTAGATAATTTCACGCTTGGGAGTATATTTTATATAGTACTCTTATTTTTTACTGAAAACTTTCATAGGTAGATAATGGCAGAGGTTGGACTGGATGGGACCTTGGGGTCCTTTCCAGTTCAATGATTCCAATTGCTCTCTCTCTTCAAAGTGAAGAAAATATAAAAGTGTGTCTGCAGCCTTTGGACTGCCTCCATCTATAAGACTGATACTGAAGGCTACAGTACTCAAGGCTGTCCTGTGCATGCCCCCATGTTGCCCTCAAATGATAGACAAAATGCACTTGGATGCAACAGGAAAGCCATAATTATTGATTTCTACTTTTGTAACATCCAAGTTTCACTACTGTAATATATCTAAAAAATATAAGTAGTGAATTGCATGGGTATTTGTTTTTATGTAGACATGGGAAGAAATAGTTTTGTTCCAGCTAGGGATGTCTAAAGAATTTGGTTTTCACCCAAGGTCTGATGGGCTAATCTTAGCTTGTATTCCTGGACTCTCTGCAAGGAAGAAACAATTTAAATTGTATTTTTCTTGGAAACATCTTATGGATGTGTTTTCATGAACATACATATCAAAGATACACAGAACAAAATGCACACATTTCAAATGCATGCAAGAAACTGCTTAAAACACATACTATGCAAACCAAGAATGTGCATTTAAGGGGAAAACCTTTATCATTGAGATATAGATAGATAGATAGATAGATAGATAGATAGATAGATAGATAGATAGATAGATAGATAGATAGATAGATAGATAGATGATAGATATAGGTAGGTAGGAAGGTAGGTAGGTAGGTAGATAGGTAGATATTGATCATATACACGCTACTTGTGGCAGAGTAAGGGTTTATCTCTACACTGTGGAATTAATGCAGTTTGACACCACTGTAACTGCCATAGTTCCATGATAAATGAAACAATAAACTTGAAAAAAGTGAAAACTTACAATCCATAATCCATCAAATTTAATACTTTTTTCAGGGTTCACAGGGTTAGTGTGGAATTCCTGGATTTCCCTTTTCCACCACTCAGCTGTAGACTCACGGAAAAAATCTGGGAATGCAGCCCAAGCACAGTATTTCTAAAATAATAGATAGAACTACTTATTTACAGCCAAAACCAAAGTCAGCAAGTGGTAACATCCACCTGCATGATGGCACATTCTTAATATGATACACACAGATGCCAAACCTTCCATGATTTATGGAAGTGATTTTCCAAATGTGGGTGCATATTTAGAAACTTTGAACAATCTAGGCATTACAAATACATGTTAAATCCATTTTGTCTACAATGTTTAATCAAAAAACTTAGCAAATGACTGACAGGAAATTATTATATTCATGTAGATCATGCAGTATTGTATGTTACTCATCTGTGCCATATGGAACAAAAAACTAAATGATAATATGGGGCCAACTAAAAGCCTATTTGGTCCAGCGACAGTGCCACCATCATCTGTTTGTTTCCCTAACAAGTGATGTGTAGTAGACACAGGTTTAGATGATATGTCCATTACAAACACACACATGCACACACACACACAGATAGACAGACATTCAACTATCCCTTCCATCCCTAAAATATGATGCTGAAGGAATCTTCTTTCAAACCATGGTTTTTGGATTTGGCGTCTTTCAAATTTCTCTTATGTCCCCATATTATTTGGCAAAGGTGAGTTAAGAGCAGCTTCTGGGCCAAATACAGTCCCCAGCCCAAGAATTTTCTTCATGGCATCAAGATTTTCTTGAGTGTCTTTGAATGAAAGCAGCATTTCAGTGATCTACACTTACTTCTACTCTTTCATCCCAGCCTAGAGATGGATCCACAACGACATCAGGCAAATATGGCCATACCTAAGAAAAACATATTTTGGGGTGAAAATAGCAGAATAACTAAATTAAATTATACAAAGGGATCTTTGTTGCATCTGATGAAGTAGGTTTAAGTCTATAAAAGCTCATGCTACTGACGTCTTTCTCTCTGTTAGTCTCAAAGGTGTTACAATGTCCTGTTGTATACGGAATCAAACTAGCATAACTATATGTCACTGAATTCCACCAGAATGAAATTATGTGTTATAGGTGACATCCCCTCAGAAATGAACAAATTGTATGAACTGGCTGACTCTTATTTTTACTAATGAGGAAAACAAAGTACTACAGTCTATTTGCAATTTGAAATAACCCAAGGGTAAAACATTTGACATTTTATGAAACTTTACTCTAGCTTCAATATATAACTAAGGAGCCCCCGGTGGTGCAGTGGGTTAAACCCCTGTGCCGACAGAACTGAAGACCGACAGGTCGCAGGTTCGAATCTGGGGAGAGGCGGATGAGCTCCCTCTATCAGCTCCAGCTCCTCATGTGGGGACATGAGAGAAGCCTCCCACAAGGATGATAAAAACATCAAATCATTTGTGCATCCCCTGGGCAATGTCCTTGCAGACGGCCAATTCTCTCACACCAGAAGAGACTTGCAGTTTCTCAAGTTGCTCCTCACACGACAAAAAAAAACATATAACTGAACACATATTCTTTTTCAATGGCATCTTACACATAACAAAAAGATATCATTATAAAGCAGTATTGCTCCAGTACTCTACCATTCTTTTGTCATCCATTTTTCTGCGAATAGACTATTCCTTTATATGACACCAACCTACAAAGACACCAAATCTGCAGGAACTATTTAAATAAAGTAAAGGATTTTTTTAAAGGCTGTGTATTTTAATGTGAAATGGCTAGTGTTCTGAGGCATTTTTAATATGCAACAAATTCTGTTAGTTTTTAAAGAAGTAGATGTCAGCCTCTTGCAGCATTAAAAAGAATTAGGTTGGAGTGGGGGTGGGAATATGGTAGCACTTTTAACACTGTCTAGCTTTTATTTCAGAATAGTTTCTGTGGATATAAACTTACTTCTTCAAATGTGGTCTAAACTCTGAAAATAATGGTACCATACCTTCCCCCACACAATACCACTGCCATTGGGCCATTTAATGAAGACGTCTTCCTGAACACCTCTTGTGAATGCTGGATAATTAGTTTCATTTCCTGAAATAGCCGGATCCTAAAATGAAGAACCAGATATACTTTTAAAACTTATATCAAAAACTGAATAACTCATAATACTTCATAACAATGTAATATTTACTGGCTGAAGAAACATTGATTGCAGTGGAAGAATTTAATTGCTAAAAAGAAATATACCCTAGTCAATCCACCTTCATGGGGGTTGGGTGGAGAACCTCCATAAAAGTGGAAAGCTGTGAATTAAATTAACATTTTTTTAACCAGCGATAGTGACTTTCTAGGAATCTCTAGGACTCTATCGTGCTGGAAGACCTATAAATACCTAGGGAAACATTTTATCTAGGAAATTTTAGGTCTTCCAGTAAGACTCTGTTCCACTTTCAGCAGACATTGATTACAGTGTCTTTCTGGTGGATCTAGAACCTAGAAAGAAATATATTGATCAAATCTATAAATAATCAAATATGCAAATGTTTAAACTCACACATACGCCTAACTGTTTTTTTACTCTACCTACTAATGTCACCACAGTGGAGTTTAACAGTTAGATAGCATGCCATCAGTAGTATAGGAACCTCACTCCAATGGACACAGCTCAGATGAAGGGGTGTGAAACATGAACATATGTATTTTTGGCCCCAAGATCCATATGTTTAAAGCTGACAAGGCAATATTCCAAGAAGAGAAAACCAATGAGAAGAAAACACAATTCAAAATGAGAGTACTTTTCACTGGTAGTTTACCACTGGAACATTAGGCCCCCTCTACACTGCCATAAAATCCAGATGATCAAGGCAGATAATCTACATTATGACTTTAGCTAGATGAGTCTACACTGCCATATAATCCAGTTCAAAGCAGATAATCTGGATTTTATATGGCAGTATAGAAGGGGCAATAGAAGATTGGGTAAGAATAGGTTACAAGGGCAGTTCTGCCGTTATAGCAGCAGCATCTCTCCTCTTACCACACCAAGAAATGAAGTATGCTATTTCTTTATAAATAAAATATATATCATGCACAAAGAGTAACATGAACACTGACCAAAATGATGACAAATCTCATGCCATCTTCTTTAATCCTGTCTACCACAGATGAAAGGTTTGAAAATTTGGGACTGAGTGTGAAGTCCATCTGCCGCTCCATGTAATCAATATCTGCATACTGTACATCCTATAGAAAAAAAGAAGATTGTGAATGCTTTTAATTCAATTGTGTTTAATTTGCTTACATTTGAACATCCACATCATTTGGATGTCTTGATTATGAGCCCTTTAGGTTCCTGTTCTGGGAGAAAGGACAGGAAATAAATAAATATCCCAGTGAATATCTTTCAGCCTACTCCACAGATCTCCTGATCAATAGTTTTCAGCATACTCAAAAGAATATTCTTCGGGAAAAATAATTTGTGGAAAACCTTTCCAGTTACCCTGATCCCATCAGAGAATGGTAGGCTAACCATGATATTGTTTTTAATTATTAGTTTAAAATTATAAAGCAACTGATTTTAATAAATATGCTCTTTTAACTAGTGCTATGTTCTTTTAACAAACATTTTGCATTTATAACTGATGTAATGTCCGTTTAACTGATTTTTTTCCTATCTGTTCTATTTTAATCTGTTTCTCTTCATCTTGATCCACAGACCGAGTCAGGATGATGATGATGATGATGATGATGATGATGATGATGATGATGGTAATGATGATGATAATTTACTCTTACCACTATTTCCCCAGGATTTGAAGTCAGGCAGTTTAGATACTAAAGCAAAGACAATGTAATAATTATTCATATCTTCACAGAACTTACATAAGGAATTTTAGCTGCCTTCATTTCATTGTACAAATTAGAGATATCTCCATCAGTTTCATATCCATAACGGCTCAACTGGAATCCTAAACCCCAATAGGGAGGCATGACTGGGCGTCCAATAAGCTATTAATGGTAAAATGAAATAAATATTATTAGGATGACAGAAGAGGAAAGTGAAAATGAGAGTTTTGTTTAGGTTTTGTAAAATAATGTCAGGCTTACTGCAGTGTATTGCTGAACCACTTGTTCTGGAGTTGGGCCCAGCACTACATAAAAGTCCAAAATCCCTCCTAGGGTACGATAAGTCAAAGCTGGGGTAGGCTGTAATTTCACCTCTGGAAATGTATAATGGAAGGAATAAAATACAGAATTATCATATGTATTAGTAATGGTAAATAATACGCATAGAATCATGGAGTTGGAATAGACCACATGGGCCATCAAGTCTAACCCCTGCCATACAGGAAAAGTGCAAAGTATCCCTGACAGATCAACATCCAGCCTCTGCTTGAAAGCCCCCAAAGAAGGAACTTCCACTACACACCCATTTTTCTTCTAGGCTGCAGAAGTCTGAATGGGAAGTCTTAGCAGATTCCGCCTTAAAAATTTAAAATTCTGCTTGGAGTACATAGAAATTGTATTAATTTGCATTCTCTAGTGGTAGGAGTATCTACCAGAGAAAAAACATGTGTAATGGACATAAATGATATGTAGCTTGATTAACGGCACTTCCTGAGAACATCCCATGAGAGTACAGTAGCTAAATCCAGATACACTGCACTATTTTTAATCCTGATATGTTTTTCCCATTTGTCAGAAATGATCTGTTATCGTATTGCTCTTATTTATAGGTAAATAGCAAAGGTACTTTCTAAACCAAAAGCAGCATTTTGCCTTCATGTTCAATGACAAGAAAAGTCAGGTTGAGGACTCACATGACTCACAATCCATCTATTTAGAAATCTGACACCATTATAGCTCAGAAACACAAATATAGTTGAGGTACTAGAGATAACTGACCCATTCCATTACTGTTCAGCAAGAGAACTCCATGAGCATTTCCATCATTTTCCAAACCCATGTAAAAGGGGTGAACTCCATAAGTGTTCAATTTATACTGTAGGCATGAAAGAAGAGACACATCATGAACAAATAACTTGTTTAGAAAAAAATCAATTTTCTTCCTAACATACTTCTGCACATGTCAAAAAGGGACAGAAATTTCTATATCAAGGAAATAATGAGTATTCATTCTCCAATTTTTCTATTCAGGGTTCAGACTAAAAGGTAATACAGGAATGAGATGGCCAAGACTTTTTTTTTCATTTCGCACAATTAATTATAAGATCTTAATTCTGTGGATAGTTACTGGTGTTAAATGAACTCCTTTCATATATTACTCATCCAAAAATGAAGAATGCCAAAACTGACCACATTTATTTATTTATTTATTTATTTATTAATGCGCTTGTATACCGCTGATATCTCAGCCTAAATTGGCGACTAATTGCGGTTTACAACACTTAAAAAACAATATTCAGTTTAAAAGTATAAAACACATATACAATACAAATTATTGGGCCACCAATAACACTCCAATGCATCTCGTAACTGGAATCGCAATCCAAAATTCATCGTCCATGATTACCAATCCTTTAGTCATAAAAACATAAAAGGCAGCTCTCTTTGTGATGATCATTAAAGGTTGTACTTTACCATCTTCAGATTCAATCTTCAAATCCAACCAGGGTGGGTGTGAAATAAATCAAATCCAGTTAATTATAATTGTAATGGGACTCTCCTTATGATCAAGTTTTAAAATGGATTCCAATGGGACCTAAGTGCCATTATTTTAATCGAGATTCAGCTCATGGCACTTGTCCAGTTGCTCTTTGGACTAATGATGGAAAAGAAGGAAATTACAACAAGCAGTATGGTGCAGTGATTTGAGCGTTGAACTACCACTCTGGAGACTAACGTTTGAATCACTACTCAGCCATAGAAACTCACCGGATGGTTTTGGGCAAGTCACACTCATTCATCCTCAGAGGAAGGCAAAGGCAAACTTTATCTCCACAAATCTTGTCATGAAAACCCCATGACAGGTTTGCCTCAGAGTCATCATAAAATGAAAACAACTTGGAGGCACACAACAACAACAACAACAACAACAACACTCAATACTCACTCCAGGAGACTGATCCCTTGCAAACATTGACCAAGTATGCCAGTCCATTTCATGCCGATATTGTTTGTGCTCTGTTTCCCCAAAGCCATACACATACTGTGATGGTAAGCGAGTTGAAATCTGAATGAACATGTCACTGAAGATGAAACTAGGTAATTGTGAATCCCAGCTGCAATAAAAGAGCAGGTTTTGTTAACAGGAAGATATGACTAGGAATCAAATGTTAATGATATATAAGGACCTTTAAATTATAAGTCTTTTTTGGTTTAGATTTTAATGCAAACTAAATGTATATTTGAAGAAATGTAAATCTGAAGTTAAAAGTTATTCCTTTAATATTTGCAATTTTCTGATATGTGTCCAAAATACCTTTGTTTGCACCTTGGTCATTTCCCAAACCCATTGTCTCCCTCTCATTATTTTGGACAAAAATACCTTTAATGTTTCCCCAAAATCCAATGCTTTGCACCCAAACTGCCTACCTGAGTCTCAGTCTACAAAAATGCCAATACCTGCCTCCTAAGTAGTGAAATGCAATAGTGCAAAATGGAAGCTCAAAGATCTTTGGGGAAAAAATAAATTCATAACTGATGATAAAACCTCTTCAGTATGTTTTTTTTAAAAATCACAAACATAAAGTGAAATGAACTGAATCATTCATGTTGTGCCCCATGAAGACCCTAACTGTTTACCTCCAGTTAAGCCCTTTTAGTTAAAGAGTTTGATATTTTATGTACAGTTTTGGGTGGATCAGTTTAGACAGCCTCTTTACATTTGAAGCCTCCATTGCCCTTCCCCTTTAAGAATCATCTCAGGGGCAAAGCCTCAGGCTGGGCACTTCCGGTTCTTGGAAAAGTCAGTCTTTTTTGTGACTGGAAGGTGAAGAGAGAGGAAGGCTGGAAGGTCTACAAAATAGCATGTCCAGTCAGAGCTGTATTCACATCCAGTTGGAGCCATATTCAAGTCCAGTTGGATCTATATTGAAGTCCAGTCAAAGTTAAATATTGAGATCATCTTAGAGACACCATACAAGAAAGAGACAATAAGAAGAAATAAAGATTCAAGAGCCTCTGTTCGGCCAGAACTGTGTCTATCTCTCAAAGCCTTTACCTCTCCTCATAAAGACTTTGTAGTGAGACTCAGGAGGAGAGAAAGTCTAAAATTCTTGTCAGTTAATAAATTCTTGTTTGATTCAACTATATAGTCTCTGATATGTTCCCTGTTCGGTCAGTTCACCTTCCAAGTAGTTAAGATATCATGTGGGCAGAACAATCCAACTCCAAGTTTCATTTAGAAAGTACAGCAGACTTACTTTTTTTAAAAAAAAACTTTCTGTTTTCAAAACATATTGGAGTAAGAAGTCTTTGCCTGACTATAGAAGGAATTTAGGGAAGAGGCTATTCTGTCTTCCTTAGGAAAAGAGTTCCAGAGTCCAGGAGCAGTGGGTGCAAAGGCCCTATCAAGAAGACCTTTAACTGGAAATTTTATAAAAGCTAAATAAGGGGCTCAAGATGTTAAAATGTAAGATAACATCTTTTTTTTCCCCTGTCTTTCATGCAGCCTGCAGGTGCATCAAAAAAAGTGTGCTATATTCTTATGATACTGCAAGGAAAGTTTCAAACAGACCAGTTTTTGGAAACCCTTTTACATAAACTAATCTGCTTAGAATTTGATTGTGACAACCACCAGGAATTCCATCAAACATTTTACCAATACATTCAGTTTTAGAAGTTCTTAAAACACAAGGGTTGAAGTGAGGGATTTTCTTTCAAATGATGTGATGAAGACAATAACAAGAATCAGAAATCCTTCTGAATTTGAGGGGGAAATACTTTAAAGCTTGGAAAGGTTTTCAGTTATCTATAATATATCTATGTTGTGCTTCTCTGCTTAATAGCATACTTATAGCTATCTATGCTGTCTGATCTTTTGATATATGACAGAAATTGGAGAGAAAAGGCTAAAGCTAAGCTTGGTCTGTTGTCTGCTGATCCGAAATGGAAACAGGGGAAATTCTTTGGTCCACAAAGCATTTACTGAAAAGCTTACACCAGAACTAAATACTTAGAGAGGTTTAAACCACAAAAACAGTTCCACAATTCCTTTTCATGTCAGGTCCCACACATCTTTAATAGGTACCTGGCAGATAAAAGGTGTTCTTTTCTATACCAGGGATAACAGTGGACACCTATATGGTTCGATTTGGATTGATTGATGGGTGGCAGTGTATGAAGACTGAGTTAGATCAAATAAATAGCCTTGATTTTAGTATTAGAAGGAAATCTGCCTGGTTTTAGTATTAGAAGAATTTAGCCATGAGAAACACACACACACACAGAGGAAAAGGCTCACATAAACAGAACAAAGAAAACATACACCAAATGGAACCCTAACGAGAGAAGCAGGACAATAAACAGACTATCACCTTCTTTAGAGATTCAAAGAACTCTGTGTAACCCAGGGAAGTCATACAAGCAGGCAATGGAAATAAAACCTTAGAGACAGCAGCCTTGGATGTGGGAATTAGAAATGACATTTTGATGTATTTTTATTTTGATAAATTGAACCAAATGAAAACCTCAAATAGTCCCAGGAAATCCCAGATGGTATATTGATATATTAAATTATTGTATTCTGATCAAAGTGCCAATGAGCAAGATGAAAAGCAAGGAGGGACATGAGAGCCAGGGTGAAAGGATTAAAGGCGTGAATTGTATGGGGGGAAACCTTGTAAGAGAATTCATTGGTGTGTCATCTTTTCAGGATGGTCACCTGCAGACGAATCTGCAAACGAATCTGTCGGGTTTTTTTCTATCTCCTCTGCCTCCTATTTCCTTAGTTTTAAAATCAGGACTAGGTTTTGTTTTTGTTTTGTTTTTTGTTTTTTGGTTTGCCTTCTTGAAGAGGGGCATTGCATCTGGGCCTCTTCACTATGCCTTCCAAATATTATTTTTCAAACACTTTCAATTGGAATTTTGAATCTTCATTATTGCCTTTAAGATTATGGACGACAGAAAACCAGACCATGATGTTTTTGCATTAAAATAATGGCAGCTTTGTACATTGATTATGAAGTAAATAATCTGAATAGACATCCTTGCCTATTTTGTAATGGAAGTCACTGAGAGGAAAAGTTTTTGTTTCCCTGTTATATGGTTTGTTCACATTATAGGGAAATCTTTGGGGACTATTATTATTATTATTATTATTATTATTATTATTATTATTTACAGCTTTTATATTCCGCCCTTCGCACCTCGCAGGGGACTCAGGGCGGATTACAGTGTACACATATATGGCAAACATTCAATGCCAATTTTAACATACAACATATACAGACATACACAGAGGCTATTTAACTTTTTCTGGCCGCCAGGGGAGCTGTCGCTTTCATCGTCCATCTGCAAAACTGATGAAGTACTTCCACATTCCCCACGTGCTTTTCTGCTGGGATGCTTTGCTGGAGTCTTTTTATGGCCTCATAAATTAGTTAATTTAGCCTCCCCACACTTTAAGGTGGTACCTAATTTTCCTACTTGACAGATGGAACTGTCTTTCGGGTTGCAAAGGTTGATAACAGGCTACACAATTGGTTGGAAACCCACTCCAACCCGGGCTGGCTTCAAACTCATGACCTTTGGTCAGAGTGATCTTAATGCAGCTGACACTCAGCCAGCTGCGCCACAATCCTGGTTTTATTTTCTCAAAACAAGGTAAAAGGGAAAGTGAAAGGCGGTTTCTGCTATTGTCTTGCATGTGTGTGTGAGAGAGAGTGTGTGAAAGGTGAAGAGTTGGCTTAATAATCAAGTTGTATAGAGTGGCTTTATACTTCCAGTATAAATCAATACACAGTTTTGAAGACATGAACCCAAATGTTCTTAAAGTAACAGAATAAAAACTAATGTAAAAGGAAGATTTGGATAAAATAACCTAGAATAATGTGATTATTTATGATACTGAGAATTAGGACCTATATCTAATGTGATACCAGAAGAGCAAAAATCCTGGATTTTATTGTTGTGCGAGGGCTATTGTGAGATACATATGTTTCACGCTGCAGCTTGTTGCACAATGGAAAACTGTGAGGTTCCTTCCTTTCTATTTTTTAAAATTAATATCTGGCTAATGTATCAATGCCTGCATTAGTAAAAATCACATCGTTTTGTACAGGAAGAGGAAAATGGAAATTTGTCTCATTCTGGTTTAATTTCATCATTTCTAACCCACATTCTCATTTTCTTCCATTAATGTACTGGTGTCTCATTATTCATGTTGGTGTGCCTATTTGCAAGAATGCCATTGATTAAAGTGTTTGAATGCATTCATAATGTGTGAATTTTAGTCATGTATCGTTTTAAAATATATGTTTGACTTTGTTCAATTTCTTTCCTGTGAAATGCACAATAAGTCTTGCAAGGGTACAGATTTCCAAGGGAAACACATTCACTTTCAAAGTAGGAGCAGAATAGCTATTACCGTTTGACTCTGGATATCATTTTCTTTCATATCCCGCTTATTAGGCTTGGGTAACCATGGAAAAAAATGGTTCTAAACTTGTTTTGTTTTTAGGGGGCCCTTGCATTTCGTTTTTTTAATAATTCCGAAATTTTCCTTTTAAAAATTTCGAAATATACGAAATTTCGTATAATTATGAATCGATTCGTTAATGGCGGACGCGATTGCGCAATATGCTAAAAAAACCTCCAAATGGGACAGGGGGAACTTCTGAAGCTTCCCTCTCCCTCTGTTGTTGACTGTTGGTGTGATAAAACAAACAACAACTATAAAACTTGCACCAGACATGAGAAAATAATTACGAAATAATTACAAAATAATTACGAAATAATTACAAATTACAAAATAATTACGAAATAAATTGAAAAAATTGTTTCGAATCTAATTTACTCCTCACACTATTCCTGCATGGCTCAATATTGGATCGTAAGCTAATTTAAATACGAATTAATAACGAATTATGAAATTAACGAACGAAACCGCCCAAGCCTACCGCTTATACTTAAATCTACTCCAAGTATAAGTAAGGACATTTATATTAGTGTCAGTTGGGGAGTGTGCTGTCACACTCTGGGTTCTGTATGCCCAACGGGACGCCAGGGGTGCCTCAGATTAGAAGCCTTTTGGTCCTTACCAAACAGAGTCCTTTTGTAGATTTCCAAGAGGAAAGAAGGTCTTCAATTCCCAGCGAAGGCTGGCTGTAAAGCTGTGGGACTGGATCCCCCCAGCAAAAGCTGTAGAGCTGTGGGACTGGATCCCCCCAGCAAAAGCTGTAAAAGACAAAGCTTTCTACAGGTGGAACTGATTCACGTCCTATACAAAAGACTTCTCTGTGTGAACCAGAAAAAGGGGTGGAACTAAAGAACCTAATGATGATTGATGGGTCATTGGCCCTATAATTGCAAACCAAGGGAAGCCACCTTATTGCGAAATGCATTGAACCTTGGAATACATGCAAATGCTCAAAGAAAGAAAAAGAAGTTGGAGCTCCTGGTACAGCTGTACAAGCACAGGGAAAAGAAGCCAAACAAATATTTCAACCTCTGTCATTATATTGTTAAACACACAGTGCTGAATATAGCCTCATTACTGTATAAAACACCCACTTACATGACTGTCCAAGTACTTCTGCGCAGAATTTGGATACCAAATGGATTGTTTTGAACTGAAACATCATAGAGACGATTCTCAGTGGTGCCTGCAGGAGTGCTGGGGAGGTTCAATGGGACCGGAACTTCATATCTTTTATTGCTATAATCATAAATCTACAAAAAAGAATAGTTATTAGACTTACATTGTTGTTGTTCATTCGTTCAGTCGTCTCTGACTCTTCATGACCTCATGGACCAGCCCACGCCAGAGCTCCCTGTCAGCCATCACCACCCCCAGCTCTTTCAAGGTCAGTCCAGTCACTTCAAGGATGCCATCCATCCATCTTGCCCTTGGTCGGCCCCTCTTCCTTTTACCTTCTACTTTCCCCAGCATAATTGTCTTCTCTAGGCTTTGCTGTCTCCTCATGACTTACATTACACTTACACAATATATATCTCAGACAGCAACTGTTTTATGTAAGAATAGAAATCTCTTTATCAAAGGAACACTTTGGAGCTTATCTGCTTTAACCAGAAGCTAATAGGTTTTAATGACTTGGCCAGATTTCCCTCAACAGATCTTTGTATGTGTGACTGTGAAGAATCGGCTTCACATTTTTGTGACTTTTCTTGAAATTCACCATAACATGGACTTTTCCTTCATAATATTGGAATTTTGAGGTCTGAACCACCTGGTTCATACTGTCCTGAGAACAAGGACTTACAAGTGAACTGAAACAAGAGTGTATCTTGCTACAGGTCTTAAAATGTGTTGTTGCTGCTGCTGTGTAACTTCAAGTTACTTCTGCCTGAGTTTGGCATTCATTTCATTGAACAGAAAATAAGGATATGAATATTGCTTAGGTTTTAAAAAATCTGACTATTACTTAGAAAAGTAACTAGTACGGTGTAGTGGTTTCAATGTTGGGCTATGATTCTAGAGACTAGGAATTGTATCCCTGCTCAGCTATGAAAACCCACTGGATAACCTGGACAAGTAACACACTCCCAGTCTTAGAGAATGTAAAATAGGTTCACCCTATAATCCTCTCAAGCCGGAAATTGCATGGGGCACACAACAACAAAAGCTATTTTGCTTGAAAGACAAGTGAACAACTATGACAACATGATTTCTTTGGAAAGGCCTATCACTGAAAGAAGATTGGATGCTGTACTGATCTTTTCTCTGGTTATTTAAGGATGGGTGAAAAGCTCCATAAGAATTAAAGAAAAACTTGTCAACAAACACATGTTTTTCTGACAGATTTTGTAAACAACATACACAACAATTCATTTATTTTTTTTTTACCTTAAACTGAAACATGTGGTTTTCATGATATTTAACCTCCAAGCGCAGTGTGTTAATAGGAGTTATGGACAGTTTTGCAGCTCTAACAGATCTCTGGCTTGTGCTAAGGTCTGCGGTAAAACCAGAAGATGTGTACTGAACATTGTTGATGGTATAACCAGCATTGTTATGGAAGTAACAGTATGGAACTCCTGGAGTTGTGGAAGACTGTAAAAAAAAACATTTTGCTATAACTTTTATAGGAACTAATCAGTTAGGAAATGTTAAAGAAATTCAGCATACCCAGTATTTACTAATGATAAAAAAATCCACACAGAACTCATTGCAACTAGCTCAACTTTTCAAAATATATTCAGAGAATTTGGGATAAAGTTAGAATTTAGTGTTTTTTCAAGTTGTCCAAAATATTTCATATGGAAACTGAAGGTACAAACCCTACTATTGTTCTCCCTCCACAACCAAACCCATTATTGCAATTCATAAATCACAATATTCAGCAGGAAAGTCTGGCTAGTAACAGAAGAAGGCTATAATTCAGGTCCAGTTGCTCAGGACCATGCTTTGTCAGTCAATCAAGAGGTACTGGAAACCAGATATATGCACAAACAACATAGTTCAATTCAAGTCCTGATTTAGTGCTTTAGAAAACAGTCCGATTCAACTCAGATTCATTCTGAGGCTATCTGATTCAACTTGGGCCAAAAACTCAAAGTGAGCTTCTACAATCAAAACTTAATTGAAAATTCATGGGAAAGTCATAAACAGGTCAAAACTTGGAACGAGATTGGGTGTAACTTGAAAGCATGAAAGATGCTTTTGATGGTGTGCCAAAAAAATAGAGGAATAAGTGGAGGAGTGTTGGTACTTGCTTCAAGTTATTTTAGTAAAATAGCCTCCCCTTTCTCCTTCTCCCTCTTCCCACTCACTCTTCTTTTCCTTCCACATATTCTTTAGTCCCTGAGACACCACACTATAGAACAAAAATCTTACAGTATAGTTGGAGAGTAACAAAAGGACTAAAGCAGTTAACAATAGAAAGAAACACATTTCTTGGAATTGTTTGGCCATCACTAAAATCACAGCATCAAAATAATGTTTAGAAGGAGCACCAAAAATAAAAAAGTTGAGACTAGTATTTTCTCATTTCAATAGCACCAGTAGGAAACAGGAATGAGACATTTTCAGCATACTTGGAAGAATCACAAAGATTGCGAAAAATATTTATTAACAAACAAACAACCTTCTAAAACAAAGATACAAGAACTGAACATAGGCAGAAAGCATGTAATGTGAGAATGGGAAAAGAAATAAATCACAACACAAAGAGAAGGAAATACCCTTGTCATAGAGACTACCTAGCTGAATCATGCTACAATTCATTATTTTTTCACAATTTATAGGTTCTATTTTTATTTTAAAATTACATGCCAAGGGGGAGGGGCATACTTGACAATGACAATATACAAAACCAAACTAAGAAGAAAAGTGAAAGAGGTTAGTCAATTTTAATGAGAATTTATTCAATTATATTACACTAATTAATCTACTATTAATGCAATTTGAGGCTATTTTATCTATCATAGCTCAAGGCTATAAAATCAAGGGATTTGTAGTTTGGCCAGGCACTCTTTTGGTAAAGAAAGCTAAAGACCTTGTAAAACCACATTTTCCATGATTCCACAGTATTGAATCATGGCAGTCAAGGGGCATTAATTCCACAGTGTAGATACAGCTTCAGCCAACATACATCTAAAATGCAAAACGTATTCAGAAAGCAAATGTTTAGTTATTAAATCACTTGATGTTTCCACTACCACCACCATCATCATGCTTACCTCCCAGGTACAGCCTAGGGCTTGACAATTTGCCTGTGTTGCATCTTGATAAGGATAACAATCAAATTTATCACTATCTTTCAAGACCTGGTTCCAGGAGACTGTGTGTTCTTCCCCTAGTTTAAGCTGAAGGCCTGTGATATGAACAACCTATGAAAATAAGAATAATAATATACAACCTCACACAAATTGAGATCATTTATCTTGTCTACCGTACAATTAAAATTCAATTTTATGTGAATGAAATGATAACTGCCAATGTTAATCTTTTCCATTGCTTGGTTGTTGATTTTTAATTTGTTTTTATTTAGACAAGTGATTCTTCGCTATGTTTCTTCTTCAAGATAGCAATGAGTTCAGCAATTTTCTTCACACCACAAAAACTTTATCTGCCATAGTTCCATACTATTGAACATTAGGATTTTTAGTTTTAATTACTAGAACTTTCTTGTTCATAATTTGATTGGTGCATTCCAAAACCATCAGTCTCAAGATTCCATAGCATGAAACCGTGATGTTTCCCCACTTGCTCAATTACTTGATGAAAAAAGTAACAAAAATTTATTACTTTGTTAAAATTACAAAAAAATTAGGTTCATAATTTCAGGAACACCTTCAAAAACTATTCACCCCTCCCCAATTTTAATGAGTATTGAAACATATTTTTCATTGATCGCACAGGCCTAATATCAGTACTTTGTGAATCTGGTTCGTACAGTGAGTAATAAATTCATTTTAGTTTGTTTTGACGGGGAAGCAAAAATATTCCCAAAAGTCTTCTCTTAGATTTTTTAAAAGTCAGGCTTAAAAGTAGACATTTGATTGATATGCAAAGGCCATGCATTCATTTTATTTTAGTTTGGTAAATAAATTCCCTCCTCCCAGTTCAACTATCATGACCAGAAATCTTTAAAATGGCTAATTATAACACGTCACTTCTATTTGAAACATTTCTCTTCTAGGAATTTATGAAAACATTTATCAATATTTACCTTATCTGCAGCATTATAATTGAAATTGACAGGATAATTCTGAGCCACGTTGTTTGATGTGACTTTCACTTCTGTAACTTCTAGGGATAATCCAAAGATCTTGACTTCCTGAAATTCTAAGTTATTTGGGTCTTGGTAACCATTTTGTGCCACAGACATAGTTAAGACATCCTGGAAGATAGCAAAAGTACACATACCGAGTGAGGACCTGATAAAGCAGTAAACAATGTTTCATGGGTGTGTTTTACTTGCTTATTTTTAATTATTTCAGCACAAAGTCCTCTAATGTAGATGTAGTATGAAGTGGATTGTTGCTTTCTTACACAGCTATCTCTTTTTGTCCATTGTGTTATATTAGATTATAATCCTTAAGATCAGAAACTATCCAATCAACAATTTGTAAGTTGCTTTGACTGCCTTTTTGGACGAAGAATGGGGAATTAGTGCTATAAATAAATGCAATGTAGTAAGCCCTCCACTTTCAAATTAGTTAGGGCCACAAGACTCCCACAGAAGTTGATAAACCATGAAAAAACCTATCACTTTTTACCTGAGAGAACAATTGCTGCAGCCCAGCCACCTACTTGATCCCCTTTTCATCCAAACATCACACATATGAACAAGAATAGTATGTTTGTTAAAAAAAGGTATCTAATATAAAAACAGTTTCAAAATACATTCATGAGCAAGATTTCCAGAAGCTTAACTAAAAGCAATGACCAACTCTGAATAGGAATGTCAAAACTCACTTAAGCCAAAAGCAAGAAACTGTAATTCCAGGGTTGTTGCACTTAAACTAGAATTATATACAAATGCTTAAAAGCATGAACATGATCATAATCCAAAGGATGGATACTTGAACTTGACTATAATTCCAAAGGCTTGAAACTTTAAACAAGATTTATAATTCAAACAGGAGGCATGGAACTTAATCAGGAAAACAAGACACAGATCCAAGAACAGAACTCATAACTCGGACCTCCCAAGATAGGCAACTTGACACATGAAAATCCAATGTTGATCTCCCCACCCAACATTGACTCCAATTCCTTAAGAATACTCCCATTTGCCCATGACATAACTCTTTCTCACACCTGGGTTCCCTTAGTTTAACTTTCAGTCTCTGGGAACTCTGGATTTGTCTGTTTCACACTATCCCTTTGGATCTGTAAATGCTGGGTTGACTGTAACCCTCCTGTCTCATCCACATTCCTATTAGAGTCAATCGCTGGCCAATGAGAATCACTTCCTGTTTCCCCAACATCAGATCAACGCAAAACATTCCCATCGTCTCAAAAAACAGTTTTGCTTTCCCCCACAGAAACACCAGGTTCAACCAGAAAATCCTCATTCTCATCTTCAGAGGCTTCACAGGCCTCAACCACATATCTTTTAGAATCTCTGTGTACTCCAGAGCAACTTCTACCAGAGGTTGACCATAAAGTTGTACTGTAGGATGCAGAGATTCCTAGAGAGCTCATATTAATCAAATTTGTTAATAGTTAAATCTGCAAAAGTTAAAACTACAAATGTGAAAGGGCAACTGTATAATACAATGCAGCCAATATCCTTTGAAGAAGAAAGACAAAATGCAGTTTTCTCCTCCCAGAATCTACCTACTATAACATAATGGGTTGAACCCTTGTGGCAGCAGGACTAAAGACCGACAGATCAAAGGTTCGAATCCGGGGAAAACACAGATGAGTTCCCTCTGTCTGTTCTAGCTCCTCATGCGAGGAGAAGCCTCCCATAAAGATCAAGGCATCAAGGCATCAGGGTGCCAAGTTCCAAGGAGCATATTATTGAATAAGGCTTCTTAATTTTTTTTCACTTGCATCCCATTTTTTGCTTGAGAAATGTTTACATGAAATTTTACTTGCTATATAGGCATATAAAATAGACAGACATTTTTAGAAATCCCTATCACTCTTTCTAGCACTACCAAGTATCACAGGGCTGTGCATTCAGTTGCCATTACAGTCTAGGGAAACCCAAAGCCAACTGCTTTCTGCAGACACCCTACATTCTTATGATATAGATCTATCTACTTATTTTTGTTTCCAATGGATACAGTGGTCCCTTGGTATCTAGTGGGGTTTTATTACAATACCGAAACTCATGGATGCCCAAGTTCCAATGGTCAAGTAAAATGGTGCCCTTTATATAAAATGATATGTCTGTATGGTTGAATCTATGGATACAGAGGGCCGACTTTATTCTAAGTCAAGATCTGCAGGAATAATAATAATAATAATAATAATAATTATTATTTGTATCAGTAAAATAATAATAATAACTATAATAATAACAACAATAACAACAACTTTTATTTATAATTTGCCCTATCTCCTCAAGGGGAGTCAAGAAGTCTATCAGATCAATACTCTAGCTCCACATTATCCCTGAATTTAATATTTAAGAGTATTGTGAAAGAAAGATAAATTTGTTCTGTAAGAGAATCCAAGAGCATCGGATAACTAACCTGAGAGGAAAGAAGACAGGAGAAGAGTAGGCTGATGATAGAAATCAGTATTGACATTCTCCTTCTCATGGTAGCACTAATACTACCAGCCTAATGAGAGAAAGCCTTCCACTAAGTGCTGTTAATTATTAATCTTAGTCTAAGAAGAGAAAGCCAAACACAAAACCCATGTTCCTCAGAACAAGTGTTGGGTACAACCTGAAAATATTTAATTACAAATAATCATTTACTAGCAATTAATTCATTTTTTTCAGTAGCAAAGATATAGCTCTAACATTATTACTGATGGGAACATTTAAAAAGAGTAGCAAAAGAAGGGTCAAGAATGGGGAGAAGGAATAAAAGCTAATGAGGAATGTAATGGTCCATTTGTAGCATAACTGTAACTTCTCATTTAGCTTTATAGGAACATGATATGACCTTTCTAAATGGTGCAGAGGGAAGATCACATGTGAGATCATCTTTTTCTAATGAATGAAAAACATTCAGGATTTTATAAATAACTAATGAAATTCTTACTTACTTCTGAGAAATACAACAGTAAAGCACCGCTTAGAAAATAAAATGAATTCCTTTAAAAATATATAATTCCCAGTACTAATCTTCTCATTATTATATTTGTTCAGTTCATTTGAACTTTGTAGCCTGATCTTTCTTTAGGACATATTTAGAACATGCATTTTTTTTATAAAGCTTTGAACAAATTGCAGAGACAACCTTAAATAACTCCCCACTTCAGAATGATGGATTGATTGCAAGCTGCACTGCAGTAATTGTTATGGTTGCTGCAGCAACTGTTATGAGTATAAGACCCGGAGAAAAGCAGTGGGGGATGCATAGAAGTAGCAAAGGGAACCTTTAAAAATAGGAAAGTGGGGGGCATTTGACTATGCAGGAAAAAAAGATCAGTAGAGTTCAAGCTTGTTGGAGAAGAATATAGAATAAATTCTAGAGAGTAAAGATGATGACGACTCATGGAACCAGAAGAATGAGACTTTCACTGCAAAGGAATATCTAGAAGCATTAGTAAGAAGATGGCTGCAGGAAGAAGAGCAATCATAGCTTGGGCAAGTCTATAATAACTGACAATGATACTGTAAATGTCACAGTGGCAGTTCGAGGGAAGAAGACTTGTCAAAGAATTACACTAGGGGTCCTTTCAGATAGGCCCTATATCCCAGGTTTTGGTCCCAGGTTTTCTGCTTTAAACTGGATTATATGAGTCTGCACTGCCATATAATATGGGATAAACAGAAAACCTGGGATCAGATCCTGGGATATAGGACTGGTCTTGAAGGGCCCTAGGTATCCTTATTCTTATTGTTCAATAATGTTAGAGTTTTTCTAAGACATTCACTTCTGAGAGACAGGCAAATTGGAACAGATAGCTAATCAGTATGTTTACTCTTATAAATGTAAAACTGTATTTTGGATTTTATTTTTTTCTCCCTTTCATAATACACATCTGAAAAATGTTAAATATAATCTAAATACTTTTACTTTAAATTGACAATCTTAACAATAGTTGAAGAATAGGCTCACAAAACAACATGAGTTCAAACCCAAAGAAACCAGTATCTACAAGCCTGCCATTATGATATATGGCATAAACCTATACAAAGGAAGCTGCAGGTCTGTTCCTAAGAGAGTTCCTACACAAGACTACACAATAAGATGGCAGGAAAATGTGTCATGTCTGATTTATAAAAAACTCTTGTAATATTTTAAAGTACATGAGATTAATTATAAAAAATATTACTGTCAACTATTTATAAGCAATCATTAAATTGGGTTGTTGTGTTGTTTTCCAGGCTGTATGGTCATGTTCCAGATGCCTGCCTTCATCCATGGCAGGCATCCTCAGAGGTTGTGAGATCACATCTTCTGAGGATGCCTGCCATAGCTGCAGGTGAAACATCAGGTGAGAATGCTTTTGGAACATGACCATATTGTCCAGAAAACACACAACAACCTAGTGATTTCAGCCATGATAGCCTTTGACAAACATTAAATTATTGCTGTTAGCACTACAATCCACATATATGTATACATAAAGTGAACAGTTCCTGTATATATTTCAACCTTCAATATTAATGTCAAAAATATGTAATACAATTTAATGTAGGATATATTGTAAAAGGCAAAGGACAAGAGCATTCTTGATAAGCACAGAACTGCAATTAATCTTTACAAACATTCAGAATTTCCTCAAATTTCCAGTTCCACTGCTCAAACTTTGAAATGATTATTACAGTCAACCGGGAAGTTGCATATTTAAGTTATAAACATAATGTATTTGTAAGTTCTAAACATAATGTATCTTAAAGCAAGGATTCCTTAGAATTTGGTCTATTTTCAGGACTAGGCTCAGAAGCAGGGAAGAGATATCAGAATAAGAGGAGTCCTCCAGGCTATTTGATGGTAGGTGGATGTCCACACTGTATGGCACCAAGCCAGTCTGGTGGTGAAAAAGGAGTCCCACACAACCTGGTTACCATCACAGTCATTTTCTTGGTTTAGTGGCTATCACCAGGAGCAAAATTGCTAGCAGTTGTCCCTCTTTGAATGTATTGTTGCTGGTCGAGCCACCAGATCAACATTGGAAATAGAACGGGGAAGGAAACAACTTTAAATCACACAGCAACAATATGACAGCTATTATCAATTGCAAAATAACATGGCACATCAAGGAATGGATTTTGAAATCCTACTTTATGACACTAGTGTAAATGCTACTTTTTTGACAGCTATCAAACACTAGCAATACTAAATTCACTATCGACTATCTGATACCAACTGTAAACAAAATATTTAGCAATATTCACATTTTTCAAATTCTCAGATAATTTTTGTATTTTTGACATCAGTATCCACAAAGAGCATGAGTTGGAGAATAATGTTACTTATCTCTACTCCTGGTGAAAGCATACTTACATTGGAGACACTAAATTGATATAAGAGGTAGGCTTTATTTTCCACTGTACCTAAATTATAAAAAATACATATTCAAAATAAATATCTTAAAGAAACAAACCGATTAAATAAAATTGATTATCACTCTAGCTACATGACAATGCAAAATTGACTTTTGTTCACAAACAAAATCCATTACTGGCAGAAAGAAAAATAAAATGCAACTGGGTGAATCACCAAATATGTAATAACAATGGTAGGATGTAAAAATATTTGCAAATTTCTAAAATTTGAAGAAAAAGACTGCATCACATTGAGAGATTAAGAAACACTTTTAAAAATGCATTGAGTTTTGGCCACAACACAGCAGAAAGGACAGGAATTCCTCTCACCTTTGGAGGTTTAGGATAGGAGGGGCAGGAGGGAATTTGCACAAAAAGATCTTATGCAATACACTTGCAAGAAATGATGAATATTATCATCATCAGAATCATCATCACCAACCCCAATGAATATGTTATATCCCTATTGGGTGTGTCAAATGCCGGAATTAATGTTTGAAAGGTGATAACATGGAATATGTGTGTGGTGGGGGGGGTGAAGTTACATAAGTACAATATCTACTCATGGATTTGATATGTTATTTTGGGTGAGATTCCTGGCCAACTCTGACCATTTTATATAAATATATTAAAAAATGTTCCAAACTCTTGAGATAATATGCTAATTGTTGTTGTATACAACTGCATGTCCATTTAAAACATGACAGGTTAAGGTCCTCTCAACATGGAAATGTTTTTCCCTTGGCATTTTTGTTTCCAAGACTGCGGTTAAAGGCACAAAAGACCCATCACAAAACAAACAAACAAACAAAAAAGTGAGTTCCTTATGCATCAGAACAGTAGGACCACTGAAACAAAAAGAAAGAAAAGACATATAGCTATGTAGGCTTGATAAATAGAGAATTTTAAAGTGCTGGTATAAAAAGAACATTTTGTGTGTGTTTCCTACTTCAGGTTCAATGGAGTTACCACCATTTGCCTTATCCACTATATTTATGGTTTTATGGTTGGATTGCTAAGGAGCAATTAACAGAGGATAATGTTTATCGTTACACCCCACTTGTTGATCTTCACACACTGCTATTAAAGGCAAAAGAGGATGGCAGGGCAATTTATTATTGCTGGTAAATTGGCAGCCCTAAGCCCTACAGCTACAAAATTGCAGCCTCTGTTCTGAAATGGAGTAGAAATAGTGGGAATGTTTGTACTAAATAATTTAGAATTTACTCTGACATTCTAATATTCTGAGTTTACACGTGGGATTCACTGCACTTGTGACATTTCACTCCCACGCGCTTACTTTCAAAGTTCAAAACTTGAAAACACCATGGAGTTATAGAGAAAGAAAGCTTAATAAATGGTATGTCTATCAAAGGCGTATGCTGTTTGGAGTTAGCACTGCCATTTCAGCCTCAGAGAGTTAGGATTGCAAAGCAGATGGTACCATTTCCTATAGTAACAGCTGTTAAGAAGAGCTTGTGTGTGCATATCTTCAATCTTGAGCAGCAAAAGAATGCACACAGCAGGTACTGAGCATCCAGGACTTTCAAGACCTTTCTCAATCATTTTAATGGAGATAATTGGTTTATAAAACAAATAAAAAAATTCTAGGCACATTTGGTTTTGCTATCTCTCTCTCTCTCTCTCTCTTTAAAATGATTATTTTTTTAAAAAAAATAAAACATTACTGAAGCATTAGAAGTACCTATTAATAAAACTAAAGGATGCTACAATTATCAGTCAATTTATTAACTCAGAAGTTCAGTCCTCTGCTAGATATCAGTGATTAGAGACACTGGGAGGTTGATTGTAGAAGAAAAAAACATATTTTTATAAGAGGCAAGAGCCTGAGTATAATTACTAGACCATACCCACTGAGTCAATTGTATAAATGGTTTCTGACAATCTATAGATTAATTTGGTACTTCTAACTAATGATAGTATCTAGATGTAAGGCAAAAGGTCAAACCGTTTTGGCATTTTTAAAAAGAAATTAGTACAATTAACAACAAATACATTTTTAAAAGTTTCTACTTGAGCAGTAAGTCTCTGAGTTATTGAGCTCCTTTTGTATATCCCCCAAAAATACAGAAAGTCAAGTGGTCCTGGAGGATCTGTGACTCATTCAGAAATTGGGATAATAGCAATTCAGAAATAGTTGGGCATGCACATAATGCTAGCCTCTGGTAGAAATACTTGAAATAATTTTCTATCCACTTTTGGCACTCATCTTTATTTTATGGTCATTATTCACACAATATGATCATTCTGAACAGAAAATCACAATTAACATCATACCCCATATTTTATACACATCACTTCAATGATCATCCTTCTATCTCAATTTTGCAAATATTGTGATAGAGGGACCTTGTACTTTGCCCTCAGACTGGCATTATACAGTAAGACCTCTGGACGTGTGTATTCTTTTTTAGTATATATATTTTTTGTGATTACCTCTTGTTTCGCCATCATCCCAGAATAATTCTCCTGTTGCTGTTCCATTGTCATTTAAGGCAATTATAAGCCCCATAGGGTTTACACGACTGTAAAAAAATGTGATAGTGTTCATGTCACCTGAAGCATTATAATTTTAAAAGTCTGGACAATAAAGTAATTGACAATGATGGTTACATTTGATTGAAAGATACAGTCATTTTCAGTATCTGATTTTCATTATTACAATGTGGACATCATTACTGATCTACACAGTTTGTTGAAAATATATGAAACATTTGAAAAGTTCAGTCATTATCAAGATGTTCATAATGTTCATTGTCATACTAAAATTGAATCTGTATGAATGTGACACATAAAATAGGGCTCTTCTAAACTAAACAATGTCAGACCTGGTTAGCACTTGAATATAGTCTTATACAGATGGAAAAGGAGAAAATAAAAAGAATACAAACAAGAAACAAGAAAAGACAATTATACTGCTCACTACTGAAAATCTGTACAAACTTTTAACTGATATCTGAAATAGGGGGGTATGCATCAATAATAGTACATTGTTTAACTGGTTTACTGCAATGATGCTAACTTTAGATATTTTAGGAATCAACAAAAATTAAAAGGGTTTAGAGTAAAACAGACTTCAAATGCAGCCTTCATAAAGTACCTGAAAACGGTTGTGTTGGCTGGTTGTTGAGTAGGAAAGATGTAGCCTCCTCTGAGATGAAGTCCTAGTTTATCTGCTGGGAGATACATCTGACATTGTTGTTTCCTCCAAATTGCCTTTCTGCCCTAATTCATGGAAATGAAAAGGCCAAAATACAAATTTACAGTATTCATACATTCAAGTTTCCATCTGAGTGCATCCAAAGAAGAGTTGTCTTTCTCATATTTCTAGAAATCACAGTTAGTGTTATTGCAAAAGCTCTCACTTCAAAATATTGATATCATAAAATGACACACTATATTAGTCTGCTGATCAGTCTGGGAAGAAAAGCTGTACTCCTTAGAAATCTATGTTGTTTTATATCAAATATTGAAATCTCCTTTCTCTAAAACTCCCTGTGATCAAACAGTTATTGAAGGTGTAGTCCTATACATACATCTATTTCTATTCTGACAGTCATAACCAGACCTTCTCCTTCCTCCTTGCAGCTCTTTCCTTCTCTTGTAAAGGGCCTCCTTTGGGTTTTTTTTTTTTTTGGAGCTTTTTGTTGTTGTGTTATGGGATGCAGAGGAAGATACAATTGGTGATGTGTTTTTGGAAGCTGCCCTGAGTCCCCTTGGTGAGAGAGGGCAGGTTAAAAATAAAGATTTATTTATTTATTTATTTATTTATTTATTTATTTATTATTCATCATTCTGTTAGAGTCTGCTCTTGTATCAATGGGAGTCTGTGGACAGGAGTTAGCTCAATTGAAAGAGAATTAATCTTACCATGAGATGTACACCGAATTGCCATGGAATTTGCTTTTTTGTAGCAGGTAATGGTGTTATAATTTTTTAGTATCACATCTTTTAAAAAATTGACATTTTGTTGTTGTTGTTGTTGTTGTTATAGCTATATACTTACTGTTTCATACTCATACCACACAGCATCAGGCATATATGCATCCACTGTGTTTGCACCCTGAAATGTAAATAAACAGGAGAAGAGATTATAGGACATCCTCACATAACACAAACTCCATACCAATAAAAGTACATAATGTAATTTATTTTGAGATTTCCTCAAAGCAGAGAGCAATCCATTACAAAATTGTCTTGTACGTGCATCCTTCAATGGGGATTATGCAACAGGACAAAAACACTCCCAATCACTTCACTGTTGATGGCACTAAGAATGAAAACAATGTTTTCAATTATTCATTTCCACGTTAAAAAAGTAGATTTCCCAAATGTTAGTAAAGACCATTGGGAAATATATCAGAACAATCTAGAATATGAACATATAAATTGTTGTGGGGAAATTACTCTGTAGAAAAAAACCCACACATTTAATCAATTTTTGGGACACACAAATACACGGAGAATACTATAGAGAAATATTCATTTTCTCCTGCAGAAAGAAAGAAAACCACCATAGTTATTAATCCTTTCATGCCAAAATGATAGAGTTACATATTTAAAATACCTAGCTGGTACAAACGAAACAAGATCTCATTTTATTTCAGAGGTTTTCAATAACTACTATTTTCTATAGATTATTAGTATGCTTTGACTTCTAGTAGCTTCCTTGAATTCCAGGTGGGATATAAAACCCTTCTCCTACTCCTCCAGACATTTATTTTTGCTGGGTTGTTGTAGGCTTTTTGGGTTGTATGGCCATGTTCTAGAAGAATTCTCTCCTGACGTTTCGACTGCATCTGTGGCAAGAATCCTCAGAGGTTGTGAGATTATTTTTGCTGTTAGAATGATATTCTTAAGCTTGTTTTTTTTAAAAAAAAAAGTTGTAAGCCATCTCAGAATCTCTTGTCAGAAGGACTGACATAAATGTTTTAGGAAGGAAGGAAATCTGGTCTGTCTTTCTCTTTCTAAAGGTTTAATATCAAATGGGGAGAAGGTCAAGAAAGAAGCCAATGGCAGGCCTGTAGCCAGAGGGGGAATTAAGGATTCAACTTCCTCCCACCCCAACCCCCAAAATGTATCAGTTTTTTTTAAAAAAAACCTGGTTTACTTATAATTTTAACTGCTTAACCAATTTATGAGGAAACCACATTGGGGGGGGGGGTCTTGAACCATACTTAGAAATTGTTATTTTTCTACATATATTGGGCCCGTTTTTACTTAAGCAGATTGCTTAGTTATTCGTAACTCTTAGAAGACTGGGTTGCTGTGAGTTTTTTGGGCTGTATGGCCATGTTCCAGCATATACAATTTTGAACAAGTGCTGGAGGGAGATGAAGATCTGTGAAATGGTAGGAGCTTACAGCAGGATACATCTATACACTAGTGTGCGACAAAATCAAGAACTGCCTTCTGTATTTTTCCTCAAATAGTTGAATCCATGTCCTTTGACCAGTAATATATATTACTAAATATTATTTAAATATTTAAATTAAAATTATTTAAATACTATATATAAATAAATAAATTAATAAATGCCCTTTGACCAGTAATATATATGCAGCAAGCCTTCCATATCCATGGGACATTTAATATAATGCCAAGTTTTTTAAACTTTGTGTTTTTTAAAAAAGACATTACAATTGTATTCTTGGTCCACTTCTGATATGAAAAACAAACAAATACTGCATATATAAACATTTGTGTGAACATAATATTTTTCCAGTTTAGATTTCATATAAGAGAATTTTCAATGCATGCTGAATTCATGCATTATATACTTTATAAATGATTAATTAGATAATAACATTAATAAAGTTAATAAAATTAGATATACCTCATCCAGGACTGGAGTAATAAGCAGCCCAGGCCCCCACAAGAACTGTCTGTCAATAGCCCAGGTGGCTTCATCTGAGTAGAACCTGAACAAATAAGATGACACTCATTTTGTTGATGGAGCACATCTCAGGCTATAAATCATGTTAATAAGGCATTTCTTCTGGAACACTTACAAAACACTGTGACATTAAATGTTGCAAATTATAATATAGTAGCATAGTATTATAATGTGATACAGAGATGAGCAGCAACATGTCTATGCAACCTTATTTTTACTCATCTTTACAGGACTGGACATCTCTGATCAGTATAGTTCCATTTAATGTGAATAAAGAGTAGAAGTTCACCAAGGGAATGCAATTCCAGTCTCTTTATGCTTACTAAGGACCTTCAATGAAGAGGAGCTCTATTGGTAAGTCTGAACTGGGAATTGAAATTACATGGTCTGAGAGCTGAAATAATTATATACCAAGCTAGGAGCAGTGATGTGAAAACCTGTCAGCTTTGTTTATATTGCATCTCCCAGAACCCACACAATATCCAACCAATCTCCCTACCAGGGTAAAATATTTCAACATGGAAGTTCATGTGTATTTTAACATACAATTCGTTTGATGGATCCATTTTCATGCCACTCCTCAAATGATGAAAGTATGTCGTGAGAGTTTTCCCAATGAACTTATTTGGGTACATTAATTTGGGTCCCACCCCCATCACACATGTGGATGGCAGGGATGAAAAGCAGGGTCTTCTCAGTAGTGGCCCCACAGCTGTGGAACTCCCTCCCCAGTGACATCAGAAGAACCCCCTCACTCTGAAGCTTCAGGAAAAAAAATCTTAAGATTTGGCTATTTAAGTAAGCCTTTGGGGATTAATATGACCCATATGATGGAACCTGTATAAAAACAGTGGAAGCAATTGCTTTTATGTTTATAAAGTTAAGTTGGTTCTAGACCTTTGTTATGTTTTAAGCATCTTAAAGATTTATAATTGATATGTATATGTGTGATAGATCTACCTTTTAGTCGGCTAGGCCGAAGCCTGCATAGCAGTGTCTGGCATCTTGGTATTCAAGCTGAGCAGGAGGAGGAGTCAGGCTGACTCCTGATTGGGTGTAGCAATTGGGGGTGGAGTCAGCTTAGAGAGGGAAAGCAGCTGTCGAGTTTGACAGAAGGAGAGAAGGGATTTTAACAGTGAAGAGGGTAGATGGATTTTTAGGCTGGAGAGCTGAGGAGAATTTAGACAGGAGAAAGTGAGCTTTTGGGAGTGAGTCTTTTAGTCAGAGAGAATAAGATAGGGACAAAAGGCTTGAAGTTTACTGTACAGAGTGTCAGTAAAGAAGACTTGTTCACTTGATGCTTATTGCTCTAAGGAGAGTATTAGTTGAGGACTAATTACTCTGTGAGACAGGAGAGGCTGTTTTCAGTGATTATACTGTTTCAAAAGGAAGTTGAACAGTATAGTTAAAAGAGACTCACAGAAATCCAAAGCTACATTCTTAGGGAAAACTGTCTAAACAGCTAAGCCTATGTAACTGAATTACGCTTTATGTGCCACTCATTTCCAACGAGTTGTTGTTAATATCAAGTTTAAAATAAACTCTTTATTAGTTTACTTTTAACTGGTGTATGCCTCAATCCATTCGTTGCCTCAGTACTCATTCTTTCAACACATTTTTACACTCCAGTCAGCTAGGGGGGAAGCCATAGAAGCCCAAGAGCTCAAACACCCTTTACCTAAAATACATTCACACCCTTTTGGTTCCTCAGGCCAGCATTTTCTGAGGTGGTGGCGGCAAATACTACCAAGTGATTCGGTCACTTAGGATCAGCCTTTGATCTCCGCTATATCCAAGGGCAGAGGTGTGATCGTGGTGTCCACCCTGCCCGGATATTCCTTTAATTTTACTATATTGGTGACCAGCGGCGGGATACGTGACGCAAAGCCTAAATCCAGTGGGGTGGTGTGATTTTGTGAGGTAAAAGTTTGAGCCAAATCGTTTCTGAGGAAGTTTTACCTCCGAAACTGCTAGAATACACCAGTATACAGCAACATGGCACCTCCAAAGCAGAAAAAAGCTCCTGTGGTTCACACTCACACAGAGGAACAGGAGGGAGCCGAAATGGAGGCTGAGACTGTAGAGAGGGGAGACCCAGAGAACAGTGGCTACCTCTTTAGAAATTGAGAAGTTAAGGCTTGAGATGGAGTTGAGAAAGATGCAACTAGAGGCTGAAAGGGAAAGAGAAAAAGTACAGTTGGAAGCTAGAGAAAGAGAAAGACAACGGGAGGCAGATAGAGAAAGAATGGAGTTTGAGGCTAGGGAAAGACAACGTGAAGCTGAGGAAAGAGAGAAAGAAAGACAGCTTGAGCTTGAGAAAGAAAAAGAAAGAATGCAGTTTGAGGCTGAAAGAGAAAGAGAGAGAATGAGACATGAGGAAAGGATGATGGAGTTACAAGTGAGAGATAGTCAACCCACATCCAATCCCAGTGCCATCCCTGCTGAACCCGTAGCTTCCTATGTAAAACACTTTCCCAAATACACAAAGGGGGATTGTGTAGAGAGTTTCCTAGCAAGCTTTGAGAGGGCGTGTGCAGATTTTGGGGTGCCTGAGGAAAAAAGAATGGCACACTTGAGACCATTAATCTGTGGGGAACTGAGTGAAGTTTATGCCAACTTGACAACTACAGAATGGTCAAACTACTCTGTCTTCAAGGAGAGAGTGAAGGTTCGGTTTGGGCTAACCCCAGAGCAAAGCCGAAAGACCTTCAGGGAAATTAAGAGGAAGCCTGGGGAGACATTTTCCCAAGTAGGGGCTAGGATTGAAAAAGCTCTAGTACGATGGCTGGAGGGTAGTAAGGTGACCACCTTTGAGGCTTTGAGAGATCTGATCTGTATGGAACAGTTTTATAAACTGGTCCCAGCTCAGTTACGTTGGTTCATTAAGGATAAGAAGACCCAGACAGTGGCCGAGTGCGCTTCAGTGTTGGACGGGATGGAGGGAGACTTTGAGATGGTCCCCCCAATGTTCAAGAAGCAGAAGGAGTGGGTCCCGAAGGGTAGAACTGACAAGGAAGGTCAGGGAGCCAAGCAAGGGGATGCCATCTCTAAGCCTGTGCCACGTAGGATCGTATGTTTCCTTTGTAACCAGGGGGGACATGTTAGAGCCTCATGCCCAAAGCTATCTAAGGAGAGAGCTGGAAGCCCCCCAAAATTTGTTAAAGTGGTCAAGAAGACTGAACCACAAGCTGTAGAACCTACTCCTGAGGGAGAGCCCATCAAAATAATGAGGGTTTGGAGTATGGACCGTGGTGTAAACAAAGAATACTTAGAAGAGGTCCAAGTAAATGACCAAAAGCTAATGGGACTGAGGGACACCGGCGCTGACGTGTCTCTGGTGCGCCCTCATGTAGTTGAGAAGGACCAGGTAGTGCCAGGAAAGAAGTGGACACTAAAAGGAATAACTGGTCCCAGCTTTGAAGTGGATGTGGCAGAAATCCCTGTCAAATACAAGGCTTTTTGTGGTAGATGGAGAGTAGGGATCCTTTCAGACTTGGAGGTCCCTGTGTTAGTAGGGAATGATCTGTCAGAGCATACACTGAAGATCAATGCTGTGACTAGAAGCCAGGCAGAAAGAGCGGGAATTTCTGAGGAGGGAGAAATCACCTCAGAAATGGCTCTAGGCTCAGAATGTAACAGCACTGAAGAGTTCCCTGTAATGTTGCCATCTAGTCAGCCAGCTGAGTTCCTGAGGGAACAGCGACGTGCTGAAGATTTAAAGACCCTGTGGGAAATGGCTGTGTCCCAAAATGCCAGACCCACAGAGAAAAAACCTGCCATCTATAACACCAGAGAGATTAAACTAGTGAAAGTAGTGAGATCAAGAGAAGCCCTGAATGAGGCAGTAAAAGAACAGCTTGGAGAAGACAAGGGGCCTGTGACAAGACAGACAGTAGATCAGGGTCTTGTCACTGAAGCAGATATGACCATAAAAAAGCGCAGGAGGTCTGGAGTGTGGCTCAGGCCCAGTTTTGGCAGTGAAGACACATTTAAGGCATAAAAGAGACATCGGCTGTGCCGAGGAGGTTGTGGCAAAGGCGGCAGACTGGCACCAGAAAGTTCAGCCTGGGACTCTAAGCTGTTTGTCTGTCATCGAGGGAGCCACAAGGCTAGCTGCGGTAGCCGGGAAGGTGGTCCAGGAAGATGAGGGGGACAACAGTGACGGAGCTGACTCTAGGCTGGGTGGTGTGGTCGAGAGAATGGCACCAAGGGTGACAAAGGGGCCCGTCATGGTGGCCGGGGAAGCCGAAAAGCAAGCAACCAGAAGCACGGTTGGGTTAGTCTCCAAGAAGCTGATCGTGTGTTCCAGCGAAGCCGGAAGGGGAACGGTCAGCGGCCCGAAAGTATCTAAAGCTACCTCAACGTTACAGAAGATGGTGCAGGAGAGAGGAAGAAGGAGAAAGCTGATGGACAGCAGCCCAGCGAGGTCTGAAATCGCCTCAGCATTAAAGAAGATGACGCAGGAGGGAGAGAGGAGGAGAGAGGCAGCGGTCAGCAGCCCAGAGAGGTCTGAGACTGCCTCTACATCGAAGCAGACGGTGCAGGAAGGAGAGAGGAGAAGAAAGGCGATGGTCAACAGCCCGGAGAGGTCGGAGATCGCCTCAGTGTTCGAAAAGAAGCAACGGCTGGAGAGCGAGAGCGAGGCGGAGCGGTCTTGTGGTCATCTGGAGAGGAGGGCGGTCGTCCCTCGAGGAGACCAGCGAGTCATCCATCCAAGTCGGAGGACAGCGGAGGAGAGGCCCTCACGACAGCAAAGAGGGACAATGTTTGGTACCTTTAGTCCAGTACCAGCAGGACGGAGATTAAGCTGTGAGACGTTGTGCTCAGGACATTGGACATTGCCCGGAGAACCAAATTCTCACGGAACCAAGGTTGTAGAAAAGATTTTGCCAGAAACTGAGGGGAATGGGACTCTGTCCAAATGGGGGAGAGTGTGTTCAGTTGGTTATTTGTCGAATTTGGAGGGAAAAGTTAGATCATGTAATACCAAGCAAGAACAGCAGGTGGAGCTAGAGCGTAAGGTCCAGAGAGTGTTATATGGAGATGACACTGTCTCAGCTTCAACCTGGAAAGAAACACCTGAAGATAATAGTATGGGGTTTGAATTGGCCATTGGTGATGTTAAGTTAAGAGTTGGGAATAGAATTTGTGGCATTGGGTAAAATAGGAAAAGGTTCAGCCCCTTTATATTTTCCATGCCAGGTTGTTCCCGGGTTGGAATTGATGTATACCAGCTAACCAAAAGTAGACCCCAGAGTAACTTTAATAAGTTATCACAAGTACATCTTCCATAGGAATTTCTTTGCTGTACAGATATTACAGAGTAATTATTTGCAATTTAAATTATTTAATTGCAGGTTGGAACAGTACTTTGATTGTGTTCAGATGTTAATTAATGCATTATCGACCATGGTATAGTGTAACTGTACAGGTAATGGTATAGAATATTACATTATAGAGTATATTGTATAATGTAATGTATTATATCTAACATGCTTTTCTTTTGCAGGTTTGTATAATTGTGCTGACTGTATTGTTTACATTGCAGGATTGCTTAGATAACATGCATAGTATTGTATAGTTTATAATTGTTATTTAGCATGCAATGTAATGTTAGATAGGAAGGTTAGATAGTGATAGATTAGGATGTTTAGATATGTTATGCAGGATAGCATGCAGGATAGGAAGATAGGTAGAATGCCCTTGCCTTAGTTAGGTTAGATAAGGTTAGTGGGATAGTTAGGTGCAAGAAGAGGGAGTTAGTTAAGAAAGAGCTCTCTTCATGAGAAACCCTTTCTTGCAGCTTTAGATTAGAAATCTGAAATCTTACAGAAAGGTCTTAAGGTGGGAAGGTATGTAATAGATCTACCTTTTAGTTGGTTAGGCCGAAGCCTGCATAACAGTGGCTGGCATCTTGGTAGTCAAGCAGAGCAGGAGGAGGAGTCAGGCTGAC